ATTGTTTCCACATTCATTCCTCTAATCACATATATAGTTATTTTTATTATTAAAAGTACTAACAGAAGATTTTCCATTTACCTCCATAAGCATAATAACAATATACGTGAAATAAACCTAATTTGTAATAATAAAAGTAATTGTTCATACTCAATATTTCTCTCTATAAAATACCAAAATACAGCATAAGGAAATAAATTACAGATTTACTGTAGATATATACCAATCTCAATAGAATCAATGCAAAATTATCAAATTGGTTTTTGCGGCGGTCTGCAATGCATGATCATTTTATTGACTCGCTTTATGAAGCCGGTATTTTTCCCAGAAGATTCTCATTAGAACGCCCACACAGAGCAATGTTTTACATTAATAGTTAAGGAAAATGTTAATATTAAAGGAAAATATGAGATTTGAGAATGTAAAAAATATATGGTTAATTGGCATAAAAACTTACACCCATGTACTCCGTATAAAAAGTTAACGATTATAATAAAATGAACAAAAGCAATAAAATCTCCATATTCATTATATATGTTATTCAAATTGAAATAAATTATGCAATCATAATTAAAGTTTATTTAATTCTTTTGTTCCGCACAAAAATATCTCCAATGAAGACAATTAAATGGGATTTAGAAATATATTATGTGTATAAACTAATATTATGATGAGAAGGAAGGAAAAAAATTTGGTTTGTTGTGAATAAACAATAATACCTATATGATTTAAATAATTTATTATCAGTGATTATCGGAATAAGATAGATACCCTGTTGTATCTATTTTGTTTAAAAAATTAAAGTATCCGTACGATATCAGGGGATTCCAGACTACATACTGGTAGTATATAGTGAACTGGCTGGCTATTAGCGTTTGTAATACAGAATCGCCAAGCAGTTGAGTTTAGCTATATACTACCTGGAAAATAAGAGTTTATGATTCGCTCCCAGTTATAACAGTTATGCATTGAAATTGTTGTTCACGCACGGGATTTTCATTTAATATTAGACATAGACATCTACATAAGTACTCTATGTATCCTTAAAATAGTAAAATTGCTTTTAATAAAAAAGAAATTCAGTTGAGTTTCTTGCTAGTTCTTCTCAATTGAATCTTTATATTGAACTGATTGGCAGAGAAAAAATATGAATACAAAATAATTTACGTTCATAAGCGGCTAAAATGTTCTATATGAATAAATATTTCTTCATTTGTTTTGATATAAAAAAAAGTTACAAAAGTTTAACGCACCTTTATACAGTTCCCTCTGCCGCTCTGCTAACTTTATCACATAGCCTTACAACATATAACCATATACGATAACACTCACGTACTGTGAACTAAGTACGTGAGTAATTTGACTTTTAAAACGAACCATGTACTCATTTAAAGAGAAGCTATGTATGAAATAGTATATAGACAAATTTAAAACTACATAATATTATAAATTTATAAGTCTGACTGTCTCCTTCTTACCTGCTCAGGACTAAATCAATGAACAGATCTTAATTATATTTAAAATGAAGATAGACAGTATCATAATAATGGGAATACACTGTGTTTTATACAAAAACATAGTTTCTGTGATTTAGCAATTTAGCACACTTTCTTCCGATGGTCGCGGGTTCGATATCGATGAGATGATGTATATATTCTCTATACATTTGTATTCGTGAGTAAAATTATTTCATTGGATCCGGAATATTGTACATTTTTTTTAAATATGCAAGATTTTAAGTTCTATGAAAACATGCCGCTGGTTTTCAGTGGCATGCAACTTAAACTAAAAATAATAAGCAATAAATAAAATAACAGATAAACAACCAAAAAACCAGAAATAAATGCAATACAATTAAAGTCTTCGCATAAATTACAGTATTATATTATTTCAGGGATTGCGTTAATTCAGTTACACGTTGGATTAGATATGGAGTAAGGAAAGTTACTGAACCCAAAATAATTACTACATAAATTTGTTATCTTCCAACGAACCTAGAGGGCCCTGTACAAGGAAGGGGGAAAGTCATAGACCTCTATTATAAAGTTTGTGGTATAATTATCCCCGGCCAGGGGTTGGGTACTTTTTATAACAGCAACGAAAAGAAAATGTATGTTCATGATATATTCTACTAGCTTAAATAAAGATTTCCTATTTCGTTGGTTTATTGTATTTGTGTGATTTATTATTTCATTATAAAATTACTTTAAGTATAGAATCAACGCCATAAATCTTTACAAGTAAGTATAAAACAAAGTCGCAACTGTATGTTCGCTGACATGTTTTAAATTAGCCAACGGGTTTTAAAGCAGTTTACAGCAATAGATAGAGTGATCCAAGAGGAACGTATATATATATATATATATAATACATGCATGTAATAGTATAGAACAAGCTTAAAAATTTCAAATATTTGTAAGGCATACGCGCGAAGCCGGAACGGGTCGCTAATAATTTTACAATTATAAAAATTTTAATGCAATTTTAAAGATAATAATCAAAATTTATTCCCATTGGATGAATTTGAATAGGAGATAGCTCGATATATACCTATTTAAATACTTCTCAACTTCGAAAAATAAGTAGTTATGTTTAAGTATATTATGCGATGTCTGGTAATCAATTAATTATAATGTACCGTATGTATTTTATGAGAAGAGTTGAAATTCAGTAATAGTATTGCAAATAGTGTATTTTCATTTCTTTTTTTTTTTTTATGGCTTGGCACGTTTGTGTATTCGCTAAATATAATTTAGGAACCGGTAATGCAATATTATTTTTAATTTAATAGGGAAGATAATATGGGTAAGGATTTTTATAACGTTCCTCAGGAGTAAAAATGAGAACCATGGCTTTTATTCTGAATTCTATAATGTTTATGGCATATTTAATATCCATAGGCAATGATTACCGCTTTCTGTCATATAAAAACCATGATCTTGGTTGTCATTCTAAGTGTCATAAAAAATCGCTTTTTGTTCACCGAAAAAACTTAATGATAATTATGATTGCCTAGAAGAATGATAATTTTTTGTGATAATAATACAATAAATTTTCTCACACTTCTGCGAATACACTGATTTAATTTTTTTTATGTAAATTCGACCTTGACTTGTTCGTGACCTGCGTCTTAAAGATTTAAAACAAAAAACGGACGGCATTTTTATCAATGGGGGATACAATTTCGTTACTCCTAAAGTACATTTGTATGGAGTTAAAAAATATTTGTATCTTACTATACTTTTGAATCTTACTATACGTGAACGGAACCTGCTGTACCTGGGTCACATAATGCGGAATGAAAAATGCAGTCTTCTGCAATTAATCATACAGAAAAATTCAGGGTTCCCTGTGGTATAATAGATACTTTTTATAGACCAACGTCATATTTATTATTTATCTAGCTGTTGATTGACATTGTAGAAAAACACGAAACTATGTCACTATATTCGTAACATATTAAATATATTCCTCAATTACTATATTTTAATACAACATAAATTTGGCGACGAGATGTCGTTGGAACGTTTTCATTTTAATATATTTGACAACAATACAGAAGACTGGGATTACTATATACAAAGATTTGAGATCGAGTTACAACTTCATGGGCTTGACGGAACAACATCAGATAGTAATAATAAGAGAAAACAATTACTTCTCTCCCGAATCGGTCCAACATCATTCAAGGTACTTGTGGATTATTTTCGACCGACTCCCGTGACATCGAAAACTTACGAGGAACTTATTAAAGTACTACATGAATATTATGGCAAGAAGACCTACGTTCTCTCCGAACGGTTATCTTTTGCTACAAGATATAGAAACGAAAATGAGACAATTTCACAATTTATACTACAACTTCGTTCACTCGCTGGATACTGTGAATTCGGAAATACACTAGAAGAACGAATTCGAGATCAACTAGTAATCGGCATTAATAACATTACATGGCAACAGGAACTCATCAAAGAACATCCAACGAATGATTCGAAACTTGCTGATATTATCGCTACACTGAACAAACTGGAACAAGCAGAAATACAGAGTCAACGTTTAACAAACAACAATTATACTACTATGGAAACTACTAATGAATCACCGCAAGCTGTAAACAAACTTAACATCAACAACAATAGAAAACCCGGAAAGAAAACAAACATTCCCTCAAAAAAATGTATATTTTGTGGAGGAAAATACCACCAAAATTTGAACGACTGTCCTGCAAAGGGGAAAAGATGCAATGCTTGCAATAAAATGAACCATTTCTCGAGCGTTTGTATAGGTAGTGGTCATTTAAAAATAAACAAGTATAATACAAGACAAGTTTCAATAAAGAAACATCGTACTGATAGCGAAAATGAAGATTCTGATGCTGAGAGCACACACACTCGTGCGGTTGGTTTTCGTAATCCTGCCAGCAAAATTATGATATCGACGAAACTTAACAGTATAGAAGTTGATATGTTATATGACCCTGGGGCAGTACACTCAGTTATTGGCAAATTGTTATGGAAAGCAATTGGTCGACCAACACTAAAAAAATGTAAGAATCTTGTTGCCTACACAGACGTCAAGATCGAGACTCTGGGAATCTGCGACATAACCGTAATGGCCTTTAATAGTGTGAAGATATTGTCAGCCTATGTAACAAAACATAATGACTTACCTTTATTTGGATTAAATTGGTGTTTACAATTCAACCTACCTATGCCACCGGGGGCTCGGCTCTGTAACATAAAAGAACCCATAACAAAAACAATTCCCCCTATAACAGGACAACATAATAAGGATGAGGTTGAATGTTTACTAAAGGACTTTAAAACACTATTTGATGGGAAATTAGGTACAATTAACTGTCATACTGCCAAGATCCATATTCCTAACAATGTACGTCCTAAGGCTTTCAGACCACGACCAGTTCCATTGGCCCTACAGGACCAAGTCAACGACGAATTACAGCGTTTAGTAAGAGAGGGGTTCTAGAACATATTGATACAATGGTAACGCCGATTGAGTGGGCATCACCTATAGTCATTGCAATTAAATCTAATGGAAACGTACGTATTTGTGCTGATTTCAAAGTAACGATCAACCAGCATGTACAAGTTGATGACTACCCCTTACCAAGGTTTGAGGAAATTACATCCAAATTAGCTGGGGGTCAATTGTTTACAAAAATAGACCTTAAAGACGCCTACCTTCAATTATTGGTACACCCGGACTCCAGGAAGTACTTAACGATCTCAACACACAAGGGTTACTTCCAGTATAAAAGATTACCCTTTGGTATATCTTTTGCACCAGCAGTTTTTCAAAGAACCATGCATCAAATCCTAAGTGGGCTGGATGGTGTTGTATGTTACCTCGATGACATTTTGATAACGGCGGAAAACCGACATGAGCACATAAAACGAGTCAGAACAGTCTTACAAAGGCTACAAGAAGCAGGTATTAAAAGTCAGATAACTAAATGTTTCTGGTTACAGGAGAGTGTAACTTTCCTTGGTCATAAGATTGATAAAAACGGTTTACACCCAACATCGGAGCGAGTTGAAGCTATCAAAAAAATGCCAACTCCAATGAACGTGGCCGAATTATGATCCTTTTTGGGTTCCATTACATACTATGGTAGATTTATAGACAATTTACATGTTAGATGTGCACCGTTGTATCGTCATTTGAAGAAGAACCAAAAATGGGATTGGACCAGCGAGGATACCCAAATAACAAACGATCTGAAAAACATTTTAACATCGAACGAAACACTTGTCCACTATGATGAGAAACAGCCTATCTACGTCAGTAGCGATGCCTCTGATAAAGGAATTGGAGCAGTGTTATTTCATAAAATTAATAACATCATGCGTCCAGTCGCATTCGCCTCCAGAAATCTTTCCGAAACAGAACGTCGATACTCAACAATCGACAAAGAGGCATTAGGGATTGTTTATTCAGTAACAAAGTTCCATCAATACCTTTATGGACGAAAATTTACTTTGCTAACAGATCATAAGCCTCTTGAACGTATTTTTAGTCAAGAAAGAGAAACACCCAAAGTCGCAAGCAACCGATTACTTAGATGGGCCATGATCTTAAACAGTTACGAGTACACCATAAATTACCACACGGCTAAGGAGAATACTCCAGCAGATGCACTTTCAAGATTACCGCTGCCAAACTCTGATTTAACTATAGAAGAACGAACAGGGTTACCCCAATTTGCCCATCTCTTACATCTTAGACTGAGTAATATACCCGTAACAAAACAAAAACTTAGAAAAGAGACACTTAACGATATAAACCTTAACAAAATCAAAAACTTCATAACAAATTATTGGCCGGAAAAAAAAGAACTACCGATAGAAATGCATACTTACTTCGAGAAACGAGAACAATTGTCATTTGAAGATGGAATTATCCTGTGGAACGGAAGACTATGTATACCAAAAAAATTACAATCAGCCATACTAGAAATGTTACATGACGGACATAATGGGGTAAATGCTATGCAGTCACTGGCAAGATTGCATGTGTACTGGTCAAACATAGACAAAGATATTCAAAATTTTTCGAAACATTGCAAATTATGCCAATCTTCAAAAACCAACACTAACTCTGCACCGGTGTACCCTTGGGGAGTGCCGCCGGAACCATGGCATAGATTACATATAGATTTTGCGGGACCATTTCTCGGGTACATGTGGCTTATAGCAATAGATGCTTATACAAAATGGCTGGAAGTTATACCAATGAAATCAACAACATCAGGAGCAACAATAAGTCGTCTAGACAACATATTCGCCACATTCGGTATTCCGAAATATATAGTTACAGATAATGGCCCTCAATTCATATCAAGCGAATTTAGAAGCTACTGTCAGAGTATCGGCACAACACACATAAAAACAACACCATATCACCCTAGAACTAATGGGTTAGCTGAACGTGCTGTCCGAACATTCAAAGAACGTATGCTTGCCTCGGATAAGAATATTGACATACATGGACGCCTTAACAGAATTCTTCAGGCATACCGGAACACAACCCGACGTTCAACGAACAGAACCCCTTACGAAGCGATGTTTGGAAGAACAATGCGTACTACCTTCGATTTATTGAAACCTAACATCCGAGACGATCTAGAAAGAACGCGATTATATAAGGAGTTGAGACCAACAAACAAAGAAGTTGTCCCACCAACATATAAACTTGGAGATAAGGTTTGGGTAAATAAGCCCTTGACAAAGGGATCAGATCCTGCAATAATAACGAAATGTAACGGACCATACTCTTACGAGGTGGAGTTTTCAAATGGAATTCGTAGCCGTAAGCATTCCGATCAATTACGTCCAAGATTGAGCGGCAGTCAGGATGATGACCCTACAAGTGCTTACACCCACTACTATAAACGTATAGACACAGAGGATCAATTACAACATGGTGATTATAGAAACCAGCTATCACCGATACCCTCTACGAGCGCGCAACATCCTGAGGGTCCAATAGTGTTTCAAGATGAGGATGCAACTTTTCCGTCGACATCACGTGGCGCCACTGCCACTACCACAACACCGCAGCTGCAAGTGCCACGTCGTTCGCAACGCCAGCGGAAACTACCAGCACGATTAGGTTTATAGAGACTAGAAGCTTTGTTTTCCATTGGGAGGGAGTAATGTGGTATAATAGATACTTTTTATAGACCAACGTCATATTTATTATTTATCTAGCTGTTGATTGACATTGTAGAAAAACACGAAACTATGTCACTATATTCGTAACATATTAAATATATTCCTCAATTACTATATTTTAATACAACATTCCCGAAGACCAGACTGACGCTGTACTCGTGGTTGTAAAACCTCAGGCAGTGGTTTCGGATGAGCACCAGGTCTCTTTTCAGGACCGCCGTGGACAAAATAAAGTTTGCCATAATATTCGGCCACCTCCTATAGGAGATAGCACCTACAGAAGATATATTTGTACGTTAACTTCTACAGTAACTAGATACAATAAAGATCATAGAATTGTCCTTAATTATTCAAATTTATTTTAAAAGTGTTTAAGCTTAAATCCGTGGTGAATTCAGCGCATCTGTTTGAATATCTCATTTGGTTACGGCAATTAAAATTTTACTGCACTCTTGTTATTTTACCGTGTCAAATTAACTCTATTTAACAAGTAAGAATGCATCAAATAACAAGCAGTAAAACATAACTAGTTTTTACTAATAATTAGTGTCACAAAAGTAACTGACCCAATGACACAAATTTGAACAAAATTCGACATACCTATAATAAACATAATATCTCAGGAAAATTCACACAGCGCCATTTATTCCCAAGCTAAGCTGTACTCGTTTTAAGTGTACTGGGCAAATTGATATAAATACTTAGAAAACACCCAGACAGATAAAAAGAATCATACTCATAAATACAAAATTTTGGACCATGCTAGGAGTCGAACGCGCGATCAGAAGTAAGGTGGTGTCCATTACACCACAGAGGCCGCCTACGTATATTTATTTATTGAATTGAAAAACTATCTTTTGGGGTATAGTAATAGGGAACAGTGAGCCTATTGCTATCAAAATAGAGTTTCAGATTGATCTCCACGTTGAGCTGATTAACATTTCTTCATCGTCATTATCATCCACAATTGGTGCTTCTATAGTGGCACGGCCGGCATTAACGGTATATTAGCGCAGGCGAGCACACCTTCTATAGTCCATATTCCATGTATATTAAATTAATACATATAATAAATTATTATTAGCTACGAAGTGATGGTGCTGCACTGCCCTGTAAGTTGTGTTTCGATTGACGGCTCACAATATGTCAGTAATTACATAGTAAGGGGCATAACATCTTAGTCCTCGGGAGTAGCAATGTATGAATGGTTCTACGGCTGTCACAGAATGAGTTTTCTATAGTGCTGTTCATTTGTTTAAGTAGCACATACTAGTAGGGCATTTCAGTGATATAAGAAAGCCTATAAATAAATAATTACAATATTTATCTATGTAGTTGTAGATAATAAATAGCCGATGACACTGAATAATATAACAATGCAATCAAACAGAAAATAGAAGTACATACTATCAATCTCTTTGTTGCCGGAACCTTAACTTGCTAACCTCGACCTAAAGTCCATATTGAGACCGTATCACAAATATCACTATCAATTCACACGTCAGGATATAACGTAGGTGTCCCGGCATTGTCATCCAATCACTGTTCTGAGCAATTGCTTTAATGGGATCTACCTACATCTGGTTTAGACTTCTCTAATAGTCTCTAACTAGGAAATGCCTATCGTGCTTTATCACCAGGTGGTAAAGTTTAATTTTGTAGTTATATTTGCGTAAGAGATATGCGTCCCTGGTATGCCGAGTGTGGCATAACTCCGATATTGTGATAGCAATGTTGCCGGTAAATTGGATTACCCCTTTTCTAAGCATTCTTGTAATGGACGTATCATTAAAAATATGAAGTATTAAATAAAAACATGTGTTATAGACGTTAAATAACATCAGTTTTTATATGAGCGACACTATAAAAATGTGGCAATATATACTTCTGTCTTATACTCCAGTACAGAAACAATGGTAAAAAATTCAAGATATGACAGGTTCCCTGTCGGTAACGTCCAAATATATACGGGGAAATTAAAGTTGCTTTTACCACGATGTACGATGTTGATAATATCTCTGACTACCCATTCATGATTAGACCCATAAAGATACATTTATAAGACTATAATTGTGTGTGCATGTAAGCTCGTAGGAATACTTAGTACTTATACTTAAGGTTACTTAGGGAATACTAACGAGTTTTTGCTAAGAAAGAATGGATTTAATCTGAACCAGAAGTTATTCAGCCCGAGAGACTAAGTCAGAAATTATATAATATTCAATATTGTAAGCTCTGTATGTTTTGCAGAAGCAAAACATATGCTAAATGTAAATGGATTTTTTTAGTGTAGCTAACACCAAAAAAATCTATTTTCTATATTTTATATATTTCTACTAAACCAATAGGGATTGACGCTCTCTATTCTCTATATTTATATAAGTAGCTATATTTACTATACAATCTCTCGTAGTAGATTTAAAAGACATTGTAGTCTATTTTATCTATTTGTCATAAGATAACATCAACAAGTAAAGTATAAAAGGAGACATATAAATTTTAAATATTGAATTTTCCCTTCATAAATACTCATTTGTAAATGGTTTTAAATACATTTCTGAGTGAAGGGTCATCTGCCCCAGCGTAGCCGTAATATGATGTTAAATAGTGGTTTTTAGCAACTAATCCTGAGTGTCGTTATAGTAGCAAAGAATGGCCAACTAGAAGTTAGTCTATTCGAGTACATTTTATTTATAAATAGCTACAGGGTGTACATGTATTATACATATAAACCTCCCTCTTGAATCACTCTATCTATTGCAAAAACTGCAATAAAACTCGTCGCATAGTTTAAAAGATACTAAAGATGAAGCAGTGGGTAGGAGAGTATTCAATTTCCTTAGGCCATTATTTGATAAACTTAAAAGTGAAGATTTGCTATTAAAATATAAATCTTCGCGAATTATTATAGTCATATCTGAGATACTAATTTGTAAATCACTAGCTCTTATCAATCTGGTTTTCGAGATGAAAGTTAGACTATGGCGATCCTTGCGATACAATTTATATTTACATGAAATTTGATTAAGAACCAATTTAGTGAAAATGTTACAAACATAAATAGACGCTTAGCGGATGATACAGATAAGACAAGGATAAAACCTTAACATAATTATTATAATTTATCTACCGCAATTTAAAAGATGAAAGATGAATACTAATATATCTTATATTAGTCAATATTTTTTTATTCGTTTTGTCTATCAACATTATTAGCTAGACCAAGTTATAAGATCTTATAAGATCAATTTTCAAGGTTCAGAGTCCAAGGTTAAATGGCTAAAATATATGCAAAAACTCCTTCATCTATGTATCTCATAACATCTCAAGTATGTAATTTATTACTGCATTATCAAGGTTAGAAATAGTAATTAGAAGTACGTACAATTGCAGTATTACCATGTAATTATTGTTTTTTGTTTTTGAAAAGTCTGGCATACTTTAATAAATTAAATTATAACATACGAATTCAGAAGCATTTAAATATATGTTTTTATCATTTTCATTAAAAATATCGAGAGAGCCTTTTCTTTTTAATTTGTTAGCAGTCTTTTCACCGTAAAGGTAGTCAGAAATATACTTATTTATACACACAAGTTTTTTAATATGTCATTAATTGTCTACGTCATGGTGAAGAGTCCAACGTGGCAGTGGGTAAGCCTTACAGCCTTTTCCATTTTGGTTTGTTATCGGTGTCTCTTTTCACCCATGAAGTAGATATTTATTTATATTAACACACAAAGTTTTTTTTAATATCGGCAATATTTGAAGTCACGACCTTTTAGGTCAGTCGGAGTATTACTACTACTAGACTACGATAATTTCAATCTAATTGGCTACAATTATTTCTTGGTTAGTAATTAAATGTTGAATCTATAATGAATTTATTTATATCAAAGGAATATGACCTTATTGGTATCTCACTGGTTTCCCCACGAACAGGAATCGCTTTACTGCATCTGTTTAAAAGCACAGAATAAATAGATTACATCTATAAGGAAAGTGCCGTGCATTGATTGTGGCATTAAGTTTTGCGCACAAAGGTATTACCCAAAGTAAACCCATTCTCTTTTTAAAATATAAAACAAGTAAAAAATATCTTTGTCTAAAACACTATAAGGTTAAAAAAAAGAGTTTTTTAATATATATTGAAGTCCCAACGAAAAAGTATAATCATAACATAAGGTTGCCAAGCAAAGTGACTTAATCGAGATATTTTTATGACATCAAAACAAAAAGATTTAGTTGATAAACTTCAGACATTCAAATTCTACAACTATCAACGCATTTTTAAGTTGAGGAAGGGACTTCACCAACAATTTATCTTGGCGGTTCTTTTGTTTTAATTATTATAACCTTTTGTCATTTTCATCTGTTTTTCGATTATTCTATTTATAGCTATTCTTTTGGTAATTCCTAATATTAAAAGAATATGCATTATTATAATTTAGTACTGCTATTTCATTTTAATGTCAGAGCAGCCATAATACACTAACTTGCCCTCCAGTTAAGGTTTCATAATTAATTATTCAGCATGGGCCTCTTAGTACACTGCCATAAGACAACCGCAACGATTATCTTCTTACATTTGTGACCGACGGTCACAATAATATAGAGGTCCATTTAGTAAGATAAACTTACATCTCGAAAACCTTTCTTCCCCATTAAATGGACCTGAGGTTAGACTATCTAAAAAGTCGTCTGCGTGGGTCTCATGCCAAGCAACTTATTTTGTGAACTGTAGGATATAATTCAGCAGTAAAATCACAGGTAGAGTCACGACATTTTAGTCCTTTATGCCATTCTAAAGGTATAAAGTACCTGTCTTGCCTACACTACGCGACCAAGGAACAGGACATTGTCGACTACATCCGGACCAAGACTAACCTAAACTTGAGGATGACACAGCTAAAACGAGTCACAACGCGAGCTTCAAAGCGTTTATGGCACGAGTCTACCAACATGCTGTCCATCTTCATGAAAGAAGACTACTCGCCGAAGGGATACCGTACCGGCGCTACCGTGGCAGATTGTTATAGTGAATGTGGTGACTACAAAAACAATAATACTATTAGTCCGCGCAAGGTATATATAATATGGGTTTGGTATTGTTATGTAAATAATATAATATATATAAGTTGCCTGAAGCTAATAAATAAAAAAGTGGTATTTCATGATAAGGTTACATTCATGTATATAAAAGATGTTTAGCACTCACCATCAAGTGTGGCGTCAGCTTGTTTACGATTATAATTAAATAAAAAAAATCGGTTCCTTTGTTTTTACTATGTCATAAAAATATAATCGGCCTAAGAACTACATTTCCAGAAAACATTTGAAAGTAGCGCTCATTAGGACATAGTAGTAGATGCGAACATCAAATTCAGTTTAACCCGAATAGGATCTAAAAAAATGTAGATCTATAACGTAGCATTAATGAAAGCCACTAGTAGCAATGGCGTTGTGCGCAATCACCCCATAACCATTACACATAATAGCACTAGTAAATCTGTATGTACACTCGGCTTCAAAAATACATACATATATTAGGTGACACAGTGGTAAATATACTCCAAAAGATTTGAAACATAGCATGCAAAGTATCTGATGTAGACTTCTTCTCGATAATTGTATTGAAAAGAATTAGGCAGATACTCGTTCTTGTGCATTATTTAAAATTGGAATGTTTTCCAATCTTTTTTTTCTCTTTCTGGCTCCGGCGATTTTACAAACTTGTTAGTGAAGATAATTTGTGCTGAATTATTTGAAATTGGAATATGTTTTAAAAATAATTATAGTGCTAAAGGTTGCCACAGAGTATTATAAATTATGAGAATTGAACCAAATTTTAATTTATGTTTTTACATAGATTTGTTGGAATTTAAAATCTGTGATGGTTCTAAAAATTACTTTTACAATACGAATTCTTCTTCTACGAAATTCTTACGAATGAGGCGAACCTATATGCCTATAAAATCTCCAAAATTACTATATGCACAATTTGTATACATAAAACAATTTGTACCATAATTTTGTACAAAAATAATGTTTGTTCTAGACACAAGCCCGTTCAGTACTTTTTAAATATTCTTAAGAAGACTTCCGGATGAAGTCGAAACAAGTGTCGCGAAACATGAAAACGGGGTAAATACGTTTTAAGTTATACTTGTATATATTGTAGTTATAAAATGTTAGTGCCACATGATCATTTTAAATAACTGATCGCCTTGCTAATATGTATTACAAACGCGAATGTTTATGAGTATAGATGGATAGATGGATGGATGAACGTTTGTTACTCTTTCACACAAAAACTACTAAATGGAATTTGATGAAACTTTACAGTAATGTAGCTTATACATTAAAATTGCAGTAAGCTATAATTTTAAAAGGTATTATGGAAATTGGGCGAAATATAATGATAAATATCAATGAAGTTTAATGCAAACCATTTTGCGCGGGTTGGATAGTAGTTATAATAAAATGATCATTCGGATAGTGTCCATTATTATTGAATTTGTGTCCCCCAAGATAATATTGGCAGTTCCTGATACTACGTACGTATGGAGTTGATTATACATAGGTACCTGCCGGTTAGATCAAAGGCGGAGTATCCTAGCATGTTCACGATAGATTAAGATCGACATGAAAGCATCTATAATCATAATGTCACATCACTAGCATTTATTGCTTGATGGCCTTAGGGGAGTATTCCATTATCAAGTACGTTGTATCAGTGCTATATGAATTTGTCAATTTATGACGGGTACTATAATAAGATTTTGAGAACGGTCTAGCCAAGAGGTTTACTCTCTGAATTACTCTCTAAATTTGCCTGATTAAATTTATATTTCTGACTGACATTCGCCATTTATTGCAACACCCATAACAAATAAAAAATAACGAGACGACACGACGAGAGACGGCAGTAAGTTTTCCAATTGATATACAAAAATGAGCGAGTTAATGAAATCAAAATTAAATTAAAATATATTCACTCATGTAGGTCCATTACAGACTCTTATGATATGTCAAATCTACCGTCAGTTCGGAGTACTTTCGAGCTAGGAAGAACTGACAAGAAACTTTGCTCTCATTATTTTCTTGAGCTTCTACTAACATGTTTAGAAAAATGTAGATTCATTTTTAAATTACTAATTAGGGATAAAAGAGTGATCACCAGCATATGCTATCGCAATTTTTTGAAAATATTCAAATCAGTGGCCGTAACTCAAAAAGACCAGTTTCCACAAACACCACCCTTTCACGACTATGACGGATGAGTCAGCTATCATTACACTCAACCATACTAAAGATACACAACAATTCATAATTACTTTTATCTAGGGTAACAGTAGGTTTCTGATTGTCAGTATGGCTTTCGCCAGTGTAATATAACTGAAAAAATGGTTATTTGTCGAAAAAGCCTATTTTCATGCTTAGACCCATAAAGATACATTTATAAGACTATAATTGTGTGTGCATGTACGCTCGTAGGAATACTTAGTACATATACTTAAGGTTACTTAGGGAATACTTACGAGTTTTTGCTAAAAAAAAAATGGATTAATCTGAACAAGAAGTTATTCAGCCCGAGAGACTAAGTCAGAAATTACATAATCTTTAGCTCATTCGTATGAACAATTCAAGACAGTATAAATATTATTAACGAATACCTACATCGTAATCTTAGTGCGCGCACACACTCTTCTTAATAAATGTAGTTCCTTTCTAAACAACTCCACCGTCTATGTCACCGGAAAAAAATACGAACTTAAAACAATATAATCCAGAGTCGTTACCTACTCATTAAATTAACAAACAATTAGGTTTCACATATTAGTATTTTTTTCTCTTGGTATTTTTTTTTTTTGCACCCTGGCGTAGCACCAGTGGATGATGATCGAAGAAGTCAAGTCAGATAGCCTGTCGTGGCGAATTAACCATAAAGGAAAACCATTATGGTTAGGAGTCCCTCTCGTTGATCTATATTAAAGATACCTTTTATATTCGCTAGAATTTATGCACATATCCGTCTCAAAACATGCCCGTCTGCCCTTAATAAACAATGATTCCTAGAATTCAACCATCTCCGGTTACATCTGCGATGACCTTTTAAAGATCTAGGTGATTTAACACCCAACATTCTGATAGACACGGGTTCGATACCCACAATATGTAAACAGGTAGGCGAGTGAAAATATATTTGCAAATTTTTAATTAGCCTATAAATTTTTGCCTATTACTGCATCTGTCATCCATTGACCGAAATACAACTTAGAAATTAAGCAGAAATACATGAACCAGAGGTGCAGACGACTTTGTGCGAAGTCTAACTTATTTTTGAGTGGTTTGGGCTTTAGAGCTTTAGCACTGCGATCTACATAGACCCGTCAAGCACAAGAATTGAAGGATACCCTTAGGGAGCGATGGTTGTATCAGGATAGAGTGTATATTTTCCAACGGAGATATTTCTTTTATGCATGTGTGGCTACAACTAACCTTTAGGATCTCTCTAAATCTAACTTGGTAGAACATATTAGAAATATATAATATGTAGAAGGATATAGGTTGTATTTATTCTGGGTAATCAAAAAAATGTCTGCATAGATGTGCAAACCCACGTATAAAGCCTACTATATAAATTAATAAAAAAAGCAAGAAAATGGATGCTAGTGTTCTCTTTAAATATGTACATAAATAAATAAATATAGATAATACAGCACACACATACATTATCATATCCTTACCTTCAATTTCAAATATAGGTGATATTTGCAGTCGCTGCTGATATGTGAGATTGAATAAATGTCTGCCACAGATTATAGTATATTCACACTTCATACATAATTCGAATCTATCGAGAAACGGAGCTTCTTTTTGAAAATTTTCATTTTTCTTTTCACAAAAGGATCCACTGTGATAGTTTTTATTATTAACGTCAGGCTCACAACTTACTAAGCGACATAATTGCTACTAGCTGAATATTCAACAACCGTGATAACCATCAAAAAAGCCATTTGCTTTTTGTTTAAAAGGAAAACTCGGAAGCGAAAATTACGCGGGAAAATTTCAAAAATAGAACGCGATATACGTCACACAGGAAGAGCGGGGCCGCACCTCGACTGCTAGAACACGCGTTTGGTCAGTATTTTGACCGTTCCTGAGCTGTATTATTTATTTTTATTGGAAAATTAGTCTATAACTGGTCGTAACCTCTCTACAGGAGCTGAGCCCACGCGAACTCCGTACGCGACTGAACTCGAGCAATCCTGTCTTCAAATTCTGTTTAATAATTTAAGACGATTGTACACAATGGTTCAATATATACGGCATATCTCTGGTGTCACTTTATGTATCGTGATAATGACGCAGAAGCATTCACAGAGAGTAGATAATACCGTATCACGTGGATTAAAGTAATAAAAAATCAAATTTAAGAAGTCTATGAATGTATAATCTAGATAAAAATATAGACTGAATGATTAGTCTCCTCCATTTTTTAAGATCTGATAAAAAATTTATGATTCAAACTTCTTTCTTTTCTCTACCAATTTACCTCTCTACTACTAATAATATCAGTTATTAGTAACTTAGTACTACTACTTATAACAGATTAATATTATAAAGAAAACGGATTTTTTTGTGAAAAAAATTAAATCTGGGACCACTACACCGATATCAGAAATTATTTTACCGTTTAAAATATAAATGTATCTATGTAATTGTACATTTGAGATTCGGTGGTCTAGCACTGTAGCAGACGACCTTGCTTCCTATGGTCGCGGGTTGGATTCCTCGAACAGTGCAAACCTATATTTATGAGTATGATTACTTTGTATTTATAAAAAATATTTTTGAGTATTTATAACAGTAGTCTATTACCCATAACATGAGCAAGCTGGATAATTTTAAACGAAACTTAGTACATAGATAGACCACATCACAAATTAATACATAGCATATATTTTATCGTAATCCAAGTAAGTAAAGTATATGATATCACTAATGTATATTATACTAATTGTTGTCTGTTATTAAATATCATAGTGCAGAACGAATATCACGCTATAAGTATGTAAGTCTGTGATCTATGGTTTTATGTTGATATAATTTCTGATTTCAAATGAAATTTACAATTGTGTTCATTATTTAAAAGAATGACTTACATGTATTAACAGCTCCAGCAATATCAGAGTACGTAAGGCGTGTAGAGTTACTATTTCAATAAATTATTGTGCACTTACTCTGGACCGCCTACGAGAGTCTTTGTTTTGCAGCCATAAAACACATATTAAGCATAACAAACATACAAAGTCTTGGATAATTCTTTTATTACATAATCTGATACTAAAAAAGGTGCTTAATTGGTGCTTTTATTAATCTTTGTAAATGATTATACAGGGAATCTTTGTAAGAAATCGTGTCTCACACGACTTTTTACAAAGACTCTATATTGGAAGGAACTTGACAAATTAGCAGAATGTAGGTCAGTTAGGCCAGACGGTAGTTGAGTCAGCCCCAAGTCTGGAGATTGACCTAACAAATCACCGCGTCAGTAACATATCCCTATATTATACTATTGGATGGTATTACTACAAACTTTATAGAGGAACACCTTTATCAAGATTCAAATTCAAAATATCTTTATTCATTAAGCTCTATTACAGACTCAAAAAGATATATCAAATCTACCGTCAGTTCGAGATGAGAAGAATTGACAAAAAACTCAGCTCGTTTTCTTTTCAAATTCAAGCTGCGATTTGATTCACTTAATTAAGGTAGCAGCTTGAAGCTATACTTTAGTTGATAAGATAGGAATTATACGGTACTTTTTTTAAGTGTTTGTCGTTGAATTTTAAGCGCCTCGATCTCGCTATTTGTTACGGGTAACAAGACCTGTATTCAAAGAACAGTGGGTTGTATATGAAACTAAATGACAGACAGTTAACACTCCAATTGTAAAAGAAACCCGGACGAAGAGCCTAGTTGAATAGCCACGCGAGTTTTCAATACCTAAAGTGCTGAGAATACGAGAAGCAGCGACCGATAACTGAAAACAAGCGAAATATTGGTCGTCCTTCGAATGGGCAATCTTACGTACTTCACATGATATCTTAACCCTCAAGAATGAGAATCCATATAGGGTAGTACAGGACATCACGTGATGACGTATTCATTTTGCTGTATAATATACATTGGCTACATACCAACAGGGAGGCGAACGGCTTGTATACAATTTAGTTAAGTATATAAAAAAGCTGAACAATTTTAGTTATATAAATAGATTACAAATTGACACATAAAAATTATAGTCAGAATGGCGTCACAACACAGGGAATCCCTTGAACATAAATAGTCACATACAGTGCGGTCTTAAAGGCTCATAAGACAAAACCAGATTGTGTTATGAGCTACCTGTTGAGGTTTTCCCTAGAGATAGCATGGGGTTTTTCAAAAAATGTTAATAAGCTTTTCTAAGGGTCGACCACTTGAACGTGACCGGTGACAAGTCTTGCAAGCATGCATCTATAGGCTATTACAGTCATTAAAACAGAACAGCAATATTTTGTTTGAAGTTATAATAAACTTTAAAAACACCAAACCCTTTCAATAACAACATCTACATTAACTATCTTCTGCCAATTTAAAAATGTATCATTATTAATATTTCTAATTTACATATTTGTGTTTCATTTGAAAAGAAAATAATTGTAAATACTTTTAATCCTAATAATATCAAAGAATATCAGCCAGTAAAGTGTGTCAAGAATAGTATTTAATAATTAACTGATAAAGCAAGCATTTTGAGAATTTAAAAAGTTGTCTCTAATTTTGTGTTATTGTTAATTTCTTATACAGTAATGTAACCTGAGTATCGGTCCTTATATTTCGTTGTGTAAGGCTTGACGAGTTCATGATCCATTTCTGATGTTATCAGGTGTATCATAAATGGTATCAGGCGGCGTACAAGTCTATATTGAGAAAAGGAAGATGAGGGCGGACAAATCTCGATGCGATAACAAACGTTCGCTCCCTCCATTATGTACATACTAGTGTTGTGTCTGATAACCGTAATAATATCCGTATATCCGAGATAGAAAAAAGATCCGTATTTTTTTGGTATTGTATATTAGTAAATGTCATTACATATATTAAATTTAATACAAAATATGCTTCAATATTAAATTTCATTTAAATTATTACCACATATTTCGAATACTTAAAATGGAAAATTTATATGTTCAATTGTTGTCGGTGGTCAGTTACTAGTACCCATATGACTATAGGTAATGTTTTAATGATGTTAGTAATAAAATGTCAACTGTTTTTTACGGTAACACTCACCGTCACTATGTAATAATATCTTATCTGTGCCGTTACTAACAGAATAAAAAGCTAAAAGACCATTTGGTTTTCGTATGAGAGTTTGCCAGTTTAAACCCTGAGTAGGAGGTAAGTCAGATTTGGTTCTGGCCAGAGTAGGTTGTAAGGTTTTAATAATGTATTGTAATGCTTATAATTTTCAAGCGGTGGGGGACAGCTCCTCCAGAATTTCCACTTATTCCGATCATTGAAACGAAATATCACGTACATACTGCTTTTCCTATTGTATTTTATCGCTGTGCATAGTAAAGATTTATTATTTATAGTCCTATCCGTGGACATACATTCTTAACTATCTGGCACATCACTAGTACATACATACTGTTAATAATATCGTATAATCTGCACACCTTTGCAGCTATAAATTCAAATTTTCATGAATAATATAAGATAGGAATTTTTAACATCGTCATAAGAATCCATTACTTTTCTGCTGGCTACGAGTCTTTACTCATAAGAAAAGGATTTAGCATTCTATTACCACAGCTCGTACATGGCTGTAAACTATAAAGCAGTAAGAAGCCAATTAAGTGGCTTTTTATTATTTACCAGCTTTAAATATGATGTTTTGTGACTTTACTGTTACAGTATTTCTATTTCACACATTTTAAATTATGTTTTATGATTGTTTGTCGTTAGAAACTGACTAAGTGACTCTAATAACGTTATATCGTCATGTGACTTTCATAGTAGGTACCTCTCATGGTTGCTATTCCGGACTACATCCGGAACACATTCAAAAATAAGAAGTCTTCCTTTACATATAATCATCATCATTATCATCATTATTTCAGCCCGGAGGACATCTTCCGGGCTCCTGAACAATGCCCTACCCCAAAAATCTCCACGACCATCGGTCCTGCGCTGCTCGCATCCAATGCTTTCCAGCGATCTTGACCAGATCGTCGATCCTCTTGACTAACTACCAAAATCTCAATATTTTGATCTTTTTACATTGTCATATTCACTTCCATTAATATTATCACAAACAGACAGACCCCTACAGCATATTAAAATAGAGCATCCGCCTGTGTGTACGTCACTGATTTATCTGAACAAGCGGAACCGCATATAAATCTAACACCCACATGAATATACCAACATTGCCAACGCGTATTCTCTTAGACATTGCAATTTTCAAGTTTTATCAAGCATATGCGTCCTGTATCATGCTCTCTTTGTAATAAAGCTAGTAATTACTTAAATAAATTAGCTATGTCATTTCATACGTCATTCTGCTTTATGCTTCCCACAATATTTGGTCCCATGTTGGTTATTCGTGATATTTCTCTAAGTAGGTAACCTAATACTTTTATTATATATCTGAAATAGAAAATAAGCTGACATACATGATGGTAAACAATGACGTCACAAAATACCTATATATGTGGCATAAACCATATATACATTTGACATATACTCAACCGACGACTTTTTTTAAATTTAGGAAATCAGACTTCATGAAATTTTGCTATATACCTATCAAACAGAAACATGGCATAAATAATGCGGCTAAAATAGTTTGTTTACTAAGCAAATAAATAAAAACGTGTCGGCACAGTGTCCATTTCGCGTACAAAATTGAATACTATTCGTCTTTGTCTATAATTAGTGCTAGAATTTTGGCGCCAACTCCTGGACGTGACATTTTGTAAGTAAAATCGACTAACATATACACTTAGAATTTTCTAAAAAAAATGTATGCTTTTATAAATGTTTATTGTGCCCCTCGACATATTTTTTTAGGACAACACTTGGTCTTGGTCTTTTGTGCCGTGAACAATTATTGGTCTTGTTTTTTATTAAAATATCGTCTGGAAAGAAATACAAACAGTATTTTTTATTAAATCTAAATAATCGGCTTTTTCTATAATAGATTATTTTGTCACATCCCTATAATAACAGTATGGTGGTACGCTAATGCCTTTTAACGATTTAATTCTCATACAGTTTACAAACTACACATTATTAAAGATTATTCTCGGATTGTTTGAATGTCCGGAGGAAATGAGTCGTTACATTTTGGAAATATTTACCATCAATTGGCAATCGCGACGTAGCTTTTAAAAATATATAAGTATAAGAACAATGTTTTAGTAATTTGGCAGGTATAATTCATCTAACAATATGTATTTTTATGACTATAAGTCATAATCGTCGCTTATATACTTAAACAGTAACATAAACATCACGTTATCATGGAAAGTTCCTATAAAGTACCACTACTACGTTCCCATTCCGAAAGACTAAAATGTCATGTTTCGTTATCTTGTACCTAGTTTCACTTTTCAACTGAAACACATTTTACAAAGCAAGATGAGTGGCGGGTACAATAGGTGAGATACACGAGCCCCCGCAGTCAACTTTGAACAAAGTCAATCTTTTGGGGGCTAAAATAGGTGAGATACAGGTGCCTATGCCAACTTTGAAGAAAGTAATTTTGGTAAAAAGTAAAAACAATAATAATATTACAGGCCGTTTACACTTGTAAGTTTTAGTTATATATATAATGCTAACTAATACCTATATGTATAATTGCGAAAGTATTTTTTTTATTATTTATTACGCTTTCACACCCTATCGGTTTAGCCTAAAATCATAACATTTGGTAGAGATTGGAGATAGGTTGTTAGTAATCGAACCTACTGGCTCCATCGCAACAATTAAAGTAATGTAGGTAGGTACTGTACCTTGAACTCCGAGTTATCAATTCAATTTTTAGACCAATGACGTGATTTCCTTCTTAATAAAAAATTATCACGCCTAAAAATGGGAGATATTTAGCACTAGTGACGAAAAAGACTAGGCTTCAGGTGGATTGTACAACTATTAAGACCACAGTCAATTAAGTTATTTCGATCACACGTACAAAGAAGCGAGTATAGATTAATTAGTCTAGTAGTAGGTACTACTAGTTCATTAATAAATATGTCCTTCACCTACAAACCACACATTTATATTAAAAAGGTACTTACCTACATACTTTCCTTTTGTTAAACACATCTAACATCTAACACAAAAATACCATTGCTAGCACATTAAGAAAAATAACTGAGACGTAGATATACAGATCATCCCATTTCGCTCATTATCTGAGATAAACATGATAATATTTATATCTAATCTTAAATTTAATGACATGTCGATTTAGCTATAAACATGCTGTTGAAGAAATTCGTCATTATTCGGTAGTAATATTTTCCCGCGAGTTCGGAGAGAACTCTTAATACAAAATACGGTCAGTACACAGTATGTCTAGCCAAGTTAGTAAGTCATTTATTTTTTACATGTTTGCCAATGAGTGTGGGTGCTGCTCCTCTACCCACCTTCGGAACCGCAACTGACTTTCAGTAGGCTTCATAACAACCACAACTTCACAATTGTCTTAATAATTTTAAAAGTTTTGTGAAAGAAGATATAATTGACGTTTGGCTGGAATTGAAATGAATGATTTTTTCTGGACTGTCTATGAATTAAGTGTATGAGTACATGATTAGTTGCAAAGAGTATACCAAGTTAAAAATGAGGTAGGATACTCATGAAAGGTGGGTAATAATGCCATATACCCCCTTGTTACTGTTGTAGTTTTTTGATTTTATTTCCACACGAAAAAAAAGATACTAACTTCGAAAAACTTCAAAAAGCCTTTGCAACATTGAACGACTTATAATGGAAGCTTTAAGAGCGTTATTTGCTTGCTATATTTCTAACAAACTTCATGAAGTGAATACTTAATTCAACAGATACATGGTTAGTTCGTCCCCCCCCCCCCCCATCCATCCCCCGTTCTCATTCAAATCAGGACAACGGCCTGAGGTAAGGTTCTAACCCCTATCGATGCCCTCATACAGAAGTTGTATCCGTCAGGCAGGAGTTGAAGTCCTTCCACGCATTTAGAATGCCGTCTGCACTTGCCCTCTTTTGTCTGGTAAAGATGTAAAGGCCAGTATCATAAGAATAATTTAAATAAATATATGGATAATACCTTACTCAAATTTCGAAGCTTTACACGACTTTATACCAGATTATGGAAAGTTTTCTTTTTCCGTAATTATAAGCGCATAGCTATTTAGATATAATTACGAAATAAAATTATACCTAAGTATATTTATATCGCAATTATAAATATGTATCTATTATTATACATATTCGCTTATAGCCACTCCAGTCTTTTTCATTTAATGTAATTATTTCGAAATCAATTCCTTAAGTAAACAAGTTTGGCAGAACTCAATTGCAGAAACTCGCGTAAAGTGGTACAAATATAGCTTTAGGAAACGAAAAAAGCTGTTAATGGACTTCTTGTTAAATTAAGTGGACTCTCTAAACTAGAAGCAATTAGTGTCACAAGGAGGCGAATCTAAAGAGAAAAATGTAACGGAATAGCCAAAGCTTTTATTGTCGAGATGGAAATAATGAGCGCGGACACGCAGAGCTTTTATGTCACGCTGTTGAGTTTGTAATACATTAGTAAATTTTCAACTGAAAGAAGTATGTTTTGTGAAATTTGAATGGCAAACTAGTTAATGGAAAGTAGTGACCACTTGACATGAACAGAACAGTAATAGGTATAAGTAGGTAGAACCATATTTCATTTATGCGTTTAAGAAATGAAATTGCAGAAGAATAGGTATGTCTGATTTAATTTTTATGGGGACAACCAATTGATAATTAGCAGTGGCGCGATCGGCTTCGCATGCATGATGACTACACAACGTATAATAGGGGATAAATCTCCAGAGAGATATACCTTAGTATATTAAAATTTGTATTATTTATATTAATACAGCCATGTGGAATCATTCATGCGTTGCCCTCAATTCTGTCAGTTTTTACGTAACTGGAATGCCAAACTGGCATACATTAAAAAACTATATTTTTTATGTATGCCACTACATTCTTAATTCAAAATGAAAATACTGAAGAATATTTTTTTTTATAAATTAGTGCCTAATTGATTGGTAACCTTCCTACTAAGCATCCTACTAAGGTCACACACGACTAAAATAAAATTAGCAAACAAATCATCGTAAATCCTGGTAAATTTAGCTAAAAGACACATTACTCTAAATTGCGTCGTCGCGTGACGGAATTCATCAAGCGACCCGCCTCCGCGTCATTTCAATAAAGAATAATTTTTAAATACTAAGTTTGTGCCGTAGTTTGTTACGACATCTAATCGTTTTACGCTCATGCAAGTTAATTATTTATTTTTAATATCATTAAAAAAATGTATTATAAAAGATAATGGTCTAAAAATAATATTTTGTTAAAAATAGAACTTAAAAAAAAAGTAAAGAAGTAATTATTTATGTGAAAATTTTTAATAGCCACCTACTATTTTGTTTATACTGTAAATGTTAAATAAATTTAATGAAAAGCCGATATGTAGGTGTGAACACTCCCATATTATCCAGTGAAGCTGTAGATTAAAATAGTTATAATAAAAAATAACCTACGACTCGTCTGGGCTGTAAACTGTAAAAATACAAACCACGGAGACTTGGCTCTGCCGCGCCACCAGGCGACTTGATTTGCGCACGATGTAGCGACCGCAAAATTCTCAGTAGTGTTTAGCTTAATAAAATAATAGATGGCGTCATATAGATTAAAGTAAAAATGTTATTAATTTGAATGGAAAAAAGAAGATAAACCTTTTGGTATATTTACTTTACTCTTTGAGATAAACAAATAGTAACAAATAAAATAATATCAATGCAAAAAAAAGTATAATTAAAATAAATGCACAGCTGTAAAAGGCTGTCAAAATTGCAATTTTCTTAACTTACTCTGTGGAGTAGAGTTGCCAACCATTTTTTTTCTAGTACAAATTTTTTTATTAATAAAATATTCTAATTGTATAATTTACTGTTTTCATTGGCTTCAATAGTTTATCAAAAGATTTGGGTGTTAGCGAATTTTACCACGGTTATCATTAGTGACAGCAGATTTTTATTAATACTTAAACTGCTGAAAGATAGCGTCGAATTTAGCAATGAAAATTTTCTTGATTTATTTATATTTGCTTTATATATTTCCTAATTATATTCAACTAATTTAAGAACTTTACAAATTACATCGTGTTAAATTTAATTATTATTGCATTAATTAAAATTAAAAAACGTAAATGTTAGGTAGGAAAAACCGAGGAAAAAATGCCAAGAAAACATTTTTTTCAGTGACTCTTTTATTTTTGACAGCGCTATCAAGGCCGTCACTCCGGCAGTCAGTTTACTATGTCAAATTGTTACATGTCACTTAACTAAAAATATTTTTTTTATATTACCAACGTTTACCTTTTAAAACTATTGTAATTTATATATGTAATGTCTTTATTCGATACCGCTATATTTAATACAACCCTTTACGAAGCTCTGTATCTTCAGATTGAGGATACTTTCGCTTTCGCAAAGGATTTCGTAAAGTCGTCATTATCGTCAATTCCAGGTGAAAATATTTCCCAATCCATTGCAATTTTGTCTGAACTATCATTCTACGGTGGTTTTGCTGAAGTATTCTTCTTCAACGAGTTCCAGTTTCTTCTTTTGAAGACGTTTGCTCTTATTTTACTGTTCACTTTGTTATTGATTTTCATATCGTGGCGAGTGTACGGTAAACGCATATCGGAGCGATTTATGAAACCAGGTGAGTCACTGTTTATTACATTTCATTGTCATTTTAAGCTCAAAATCTGTTTTTTGGCAATTCGTTGTCTATTATGCAAAGTTGATATTAAAAAAAAAGATAAGTCCAATTACAGCACCATCATCATTAACACACCATCCTACTGATAGAGAGCTCTCTAAATAAAAATAGAGTTTAATTTTTTTTATGACTTCATTTAGGTATACAGGCAACAATAACATAATAGATTTTACACATATTTATAGCATTGTCACCAAGACTGTTTACCACAGTAATAATATATTTATTTTTTATGTTGAAATAGTAATTATAAGGCTAGACAATCTTAGTATTACCAATGTAAGACAATCTTAGTATTACCAATCATGTGGTAGGAAAACTTCAAGCAGACTTGTGATTCACTATTCTTCCTGTCAACCTACATCTGTAAACGTGTATATTGTGTGATTCTGTAAATATATATTTTTTTATCTCTTTATATACAGATTGTGACATTCCCATCATACCTTTACTAAGTAAATAACAAATGTGATACAATGTGATGAATGAATGAATGAATGTGATACCAGCCAGAACAATAACTTGGCTGCATTGGATGCTGGCTCTGCCAACTATGTAAATATTTATTAATGAGGCCATTAAGTTTACATATTATATCATAAGTGTGAATCTTTGTGATGATGGTTCATTGTTTCATGTAAAAACTGAGACAGAACAAACATTTATTTATATGACATAGATATAAGATACAGCATAATACAATAAGATAATGACAATCAAGTAAGACAACTTTATCACACTTAAGAAACACAAAATAAATTACAGGGTATATGTTGTTTGTTTTAAATAAATAAATTTTTACATTTTTAAGATAAAATGTTTGTTTACATTTTCTGTAAGTTCTATTGAAAGGCAGTATAGTATGTATGGGTATTTTTTTTATGATGATCTTATTATAAATAAATAAAATTGGAGTGTCTGTTTGTAATTTCAAATTAACAGCTTAAAGCTGTTAATTTAAAATTACAAACAGCATATAGCAGCAATAATGCATATGAAAGTATATATGGTACTAAAATTGTTCTCCGTCTGTTTGTTCTTTCTAATCTCTGAAACAGCTAGATTGATTTTGATAGGAAATTAACATAGTTTACATAGTTACTACTTATATTTTAGAAATTTTATTTATTTAATGTAATAATAATATAATAATATAATAATAATCTCAGGACAATTCACACAACGCCATCTAGTCCCAAGTTAAGCTAGCTAAAGCTTGTGTTATTTTAACTAGATAACTTACATAGATAATTTTTTTTTCGTAAATACATACATATTATACAAGAGACAACACCCAGACCGATACAAACAATTATACTCATGAATACAAAATGTTTGTGCCGTGCTAGGAATCGAACCCGCGACCATCGGACGTAAAGCGGTGTGCTAGACCACTAGACCACCGAGGTCGTCAATTTAATGCTTCTCCACTTAATATAATAAAGGCTGTGTGTCACATGGACTTAGAATGTGCAAGTGATCTACTGCAAATTACTGGTATATATACACAGGTAGACAGTATTTTCTTAAAAAATAAACCTTTTTTTATTTTTCTATTCCTAAGCTATCTAACCTACCTTGGTATAAATTAAAACCTAACAAAATGTTATTATTTGCAGCTACATCAGCAACAATAGAACAACTAAAGGAAAGTGTATCCAAACTAAAATTGCCCAAAGAGCATACACCCAGAATATAATAAAAAATGGCAGATAAAATAAAAAACTTTTTTAAAAAGAAAAAAGTAGATGCGAAATTTAAATTGGCCGGACCTGGACATAAATTGAGTGAGTCAACAATCCGTTCTCAGGGTTCAGATTCGTCTAGGAAGGATGTTCCAGCTGTTAAAAGATCAGGCTTGTCAGTGGAGAGTAAAGTTGCTGCAGATGCAGCCTTGGCTAGATTACAACAGAAGAGAGAGAACCCAGCATTTAATACTTCCCTTGCTGCTATACAGGTAATCATAATCTATTATAATATTTTTATTAATTTTTTTTTTCTTTTTGAATACTGCTAATTGGCAATTTGATTTTTTATACACAAAAGTCCAATCTGATGGGTCATTTTCTTTCATTGTTTGCATTCCTTTTAAAATTCATGATGCTGCTCTAATGAGTCAGCCCTCAGGAGCTGAGCTGAGCTGAGCTAAGCTAAGCTAATACTATATATTCTACATATTTACATATTATTTATACATATTTATGGGGCCCACCAAAAATTTTGAAATTTTAATTACCCCGTTGATGAAAAAGGTTGCTCACCCCTGTTGTACATTAATAGATATGCTGAAAATGGGTAGTATGCCCAGTGAATCGCAAGAATACTGATTTTCCTATTAATATTATGATATCAGACATTATTTGTTGAGTCTGTCCTTAACTTTACCAGAAAATATGAGAATTATATGTATCCTAATGTTCACGTCAGTGGGCTCTAAATTTAGAAGAACAGGCGTTCTCACTCACCTCTAATAGAAAACCAGGCTGGAAATACCAGTTTCCAAATACTTAGGGTATTTGAAAACTGGTATTTCCAGCCTGGGACTACAATATATGAGAAATATAAGTTATGTATAAGTTATTTTTTATTTCAGGCTCAGGTAAAAAAGGAATTGGAGAATGAGAAAGCATCCACATCAGCTGTTATAACACCATCCCAGTCAGATACAGGGAAGGTAGTGGAAGTAGACTTACCTGCAAATTTAGCTGCATCGGGAGTATTTTTCAAGTAATTCCTTACTGCTATTTCCACTCAATTACAGTCATTCTAAAGATATAATTGGATTATTTACTTATTAAATATATTAATAGTATTTTGTAATACTATTATTCTTATGCCTCTGTATCATATAATTACTCTTAATTACTGGTGCTACTCAGCTTGCTTTGCTAAAATAAGGTAATGAAATTACTGGATAGTAATTTCAATCTAACATATCTTCATTATCATCTGCCGAATGCAGTCCACAGCTGGACATAGGCCTATCTCTTTCCCAAGACATGCCACTGGGCACGGTTTTCAGCCTTTCTCTTCCCAGTTACTAGCCGCAACCCTATGTATATCGTCACTCCACCTAGCTGCAGGGAGTCATACCTTCATTTGCCAATTCACAGTCTCCACTCTAGAACATATCTTACAAAGCAGCAATTGGAGGTGTCATGCTTCTTCTCTATCTTAATTCTCTGGAATGGCACATAAGTGGTACCATGATTGTCTAATAACGAAGAGTTAGGCATGAGGATATGTCGATATTAAGTCAAGCAATTCTGGAAATAAGTGTTCAACCTAATGAATGTGCTGATGATTTCAGTATGTCTGTCTTCTTCTTCTTCAGCATATATTAGTCCACTGCAGGACATATACATCTTGGATAATTTTCCACTTCAGTCTGCGCCGCATGTTGTCCAGGTCGATCCTGCCATCATTTTGATGATTCCCATGCTAGGTCAGCTACATTAGAGATCTATGTGTCCGTCTATCATCTGTGCTTCAATATACGTGGCCGTCCCAACACCGCTTTAACTGTTGTGAAGGGGTGAGAAATGTTACATTGTGCAATTCTTTTAATGATGTTGGCAACTCTAGTGTGTCTTCGTTGTATATGTCCATTAATTATAAATTGGTCTCATTTTATCCCTATTCTAATTATACCCGTATTTATTATTTTGTTGACCATAATCTAATTATTATACTATTTTAGGTGTCCACTGATCAGTAATGATATATTACCACGGGATGAATGGAAGGCAAATATCAAAACATTCCTATATGAACAATTAGAGGAAGAGAGAGGTCTAACAGCCTGTCTTATGATACAATCTTGCAATAGCAGAGATAAGGTATACCCTTAATGAAGTTAAGAATATTATATATGTGCACTGTTCCTTTACTTATTATATTTATGTTTAGTTATATGTATATATATATTATTTACCTATGAATGAACTATGGAATGCCACATGCTAGCATAATAAGTAAGTGGCATTAAAAAGATACAAATAATATGATATAGACTGAAAATGTCTCTGCTTGGGCACCTCGTTCTCATCTATTTCAGCTGCTAAGCAGATTGCTTTTAAGGCTGTGTTTTGCAATATCACTGCTTAATATAATAATAATACCAATGACTGTCAGTCGCTTGGGCTCAGAACGATCTAGCAGTATTTTAGATGGTTGTCTCTAGTATTTTATTAGTATTTTCTTAAAAAAATACACCTTTTTCTTTGATTAGGTATCTTCTGTTTTACTTTTATTCCTTTAATTAAACCTGTTCTTAAGTACCACGCCGACAAAGGCTACGGTTACCGTATTACCGGTTAACTATTGGTTGGCCCAAACAAATGTTAACCTATTAGCCATCCCAAATACTTAAAAAAGGTCATATTTGTACAATTTTATTATTATTGTAAATGTAAATATTTGTATATAATAAATTACCATGACATATATTTAATAACCCTATCAGTGTGTTCTATAATAATTTTAGGTTGCTCCCTGTGTAGAAACACTTTGCAAATATTTGGAAAACATAGTCACATATCCTGACGAAGAGAAATATCAGAAAATTAGAATGTCCAACAGGTAAGATCCTATTACTTGATATATACGTCACAATCTGGTCGCCGAACAGTCAACACTAGACTTCCAAGCTATATCTAAACTCTATTCATTGCCTGCCAACCGTACCACAGACGTCACATGATGCTGTTCATGTATATAGGCGACAGTTGTGACTTACCATCACCATCACATATAAACTTCATTGCCAAAAAAAAGAGTTGTTATATATAAAAAATATTTTATTCTAGAGCATTCTGTGAACGCGTTCAACCAATAGAAGGAGCACTGGACTTACTGCTAGCAGCTGGGTTTGCGCAGCAGAAAGTGACCAATTCTGATGGCGTGGAAGAAGACTATCTTATATTCAGTAAAGATAATGTGCCCTCGGTTGAAATGTTAACTGTGAGTTGATTAATTTCATTTCAGATTTTAATTCTTTATTAGCTGTAAATCTGCCACTTCGTCGTTCTTTATAGAAATAGAAATAGAAATAATCTTTATTCAAATAAACTTAATATAAGCACTTTTGAATAGTCAAGTTTTTTTATTCTACCGCTTTCGCATTCGGAATGCAGATTCATCACAAGAAGAATAAGCAAGAAACTTGTGTGTTGCTAGAGATAAAAAAGCCTTATGATACTATCTGTACTTATGTCAATTTTTTTTTTTTTTTTCTCTTATCTGCAATCAGTCCCGGAACTATGAGCAGATTTTTTGGGTGTGGGATCTAAGAATGGAGTGTCCACCCCAGCGGGCGAATCTACTCCTTAAGCATACTGCAAACATTACACAATGTCGCTTCTTTTTAGTCGCTTGGGGTAAAGTATTTGTAGTAATTGAGCAACCAGTTGATTCGGGTGGTCACATAGTCGCTTTTTATATTTTTCTTTACAATTGAGGATCTCCTCCTTTACTGTCAGTACGCCAAGTTCCTTGTGAATTTCGTTGTTGGTGATGTACCAAGGGACACCCGATATTGTTCTCAGTATAATATTTTGGGCCCTTTGAATGATGTTAACATTTGACTTTGACGCACTTCCCCAAAGTTGTAAGCCGTATGTCCATACAGGTTTTAGAATGGACTTATAAATCAGTAGTTTATTGTCAATAGACAGTTTTGTATTTCGACCCATAAGCCAGTAAAGGTTTTTAAAGCGAATCATTAAGCATTCTCTCTTGGTTTTAATATGTTCCCTCCAATTCAAACGGCGGGCAAGGTGTACTCCAAGATACTTAACATTGTCCTTATGTGGTAGAGCATAATCTCCCAATCGTACTGGTGGACAATTTCCACGTTTTAGAGTAAAGGTGACTTGGACAGATTTTGTAATGCTGGTCTTGACTTTCCATCTTTGCAACCACCTGTGATCCAGGCCATTCTGGAGAATGGTTGAAGCCATGTCAGGTGTTTTATTACTAGCTAGCAATGCAGTATCATCCGCAAAGGTGGCTATAGTGACACCTTTCACTTCCGGAATGTCCGCTGTATATATGAGGTATAACATAGGACCGAGAATTGACCCCTGTGGCACTCCAGCTTTGATCTCATAGAATGATGATGTTTCTCCAGATTCCCTTACCTGAAAGAGTCTTTGTAGCAGGTAAGATCTTAGTAGGAGGTAATAACTGTGTGACAGGTTATTCCTGATTTTATATAGTAGTCCCCATGCCATACCCGATCGAACGCTTGCTGTATGTCAAGAAAAGCAGCCGAACAGTATTCTTTGTTTTCGAGAGTCATTCGAATTCTATCACAGACCCTGTGAACCTGTTCCACAGTTGAGTGTTGATGCCGGAAACCGAACTGGTGATCAGGAATAATTTTTTTTTGTGCAAGTTGAGAATGGATTCTTCGCAGAAGTATCTTCTCAAAAAGCTTGGACAAGATTGGAAGGAGGCTAATGGGTCTATAGGATGCGGCTTCCTGAGAAGGTTTTCCAGGTTTGTGTATCATGGTGATGGTTGAGACCTTCCATAGCTCTGGAAAGTGCTGAACTCTTATAATACCATTAAACAGAATGGTTAGGAAAATTACAGCTTTTTTTGGCAATTGGCATAGCACTTCTTTGGTGAGAAGATCAAAACCAGGAGCCTTTTTATCTTTAAGATACTTTATGGTCCTCCAAAGCTCTCGTACTGTTACAGGCATTGGTGGAAGGTCTAATTGTAGATCTTGGTTTAGGACTGAATTCACATTGTTCTCAAATTCCTCATTAGGTACGTGATTCGGGATGAATACCTCAGATAGGTGTTTGGCAAAAATATTGGCCTTTTCTTTACTTGTTCTAGCCCAGATATTGTTTTCTGTTCTTATGGGAGGCTTGGTTTGTTGTGGTCTTTTAAATGATTTCGTATATTTCCATAATGAGTAATCTGTAGAAACAGTAGGCGTCAGTGCCTCTAATTTTCGCTGTAATGTGTAGTTTTTGTGCTCCTGTATCATTGTTCTTAGTTCCACAATAGCTCTATTTAAAATAGTTTTATCTTCAGCACATCTGCTTCGATGCCACGTACGACGTAAACGACGTTTCTCGAGAATTTTATTTTTATTTCGAGTGGCCAGTTTGTAAATGCTTCCTGGTATTTTAGATGTGGGGTACTTCTCCAGCAAGCTTCCTGGATCATAGTTGTTATATATTTAGTAGCTTCTTCGATTTCGTTGATAGTCTTTAATGAAATATTCAGCATTAAGTTTTTCTCTATATGTTCTCTGAATGAGTCCCAGTCTGTATTTTTATTACAGATGATTTCTGGTCTTTCCCGAACTATTATGTTAACACTAACAGTTAAGATAACAGGGCTGTGATCAGATGAACTGTCCAGACATGTCTCCGCTTTAAAGTAATGCTGAGACATTCCTTTAATCATAAAAAAATCCAGCAAGTCCGGCATTTTGTGTGGATCAGATTTTAGTATGTTGGTTGTAGAGATGGATGTTAAGTTATTTTTTTCTGCACTTGATTTAAATTGTCTACCTCTTGTGGTAGTTAATCGAGAGCCCCAGTGTGTATTGCATTATAATCACCTCCTGCAATAAATCTTCCTCCAAGAGTGCTGTAGAATTGGGAGAAGATCTCCTCATCTATTTTATGTCTGGGTGGGCAGTATATAGAAGAGATGTTAAAGAAGCCATGTTTGTCTTCCACTGCTACTGTAGTTGCCTGAATATGTTCAGTTTCGTAATTTGCCATTACATGGTGTTTAATAGTTTCTCGGATTACAATTGCAGTTCCACCATGAGAGGTACCATCTGGGTGGTTAGTCAAGTAAGTGCAGTAGCCTTTAAATTTTAAATTGCTAAAGTTTGTGCAGTGAGTCTCAGTGATCAGAATTATGTCAAGCTTGTATTCGTTCAGCAGTATAGCTACGTCGTGTTGGTTTGGAGTCAATCCATTGATGTTCTAGGTTGCTAATCGAAAGACAGTCACTTTGTGAGTTTTTCGACAAGTTTGGCTATAGCCCCATAAGGGTAGTCATTTATTGTAAGATTATTTCAAATCGCTCGGCTTGTTTTACGAGTAATTGCTGTATAGTATCATTTATGTGTTTTGGAGGAGAGGATTTAAAAGATTCAGTTATATGTTGAATATCAGTCTTCAATATATCTGCATAAGTTCGTTTAGTATAGTCAACATTAGCTTGTGGTAGTTTGTGGTCGTCTCTGTGGTCAGTTGTGGCTTTTTGTTTCACTCCTTCACTTACTTGTCTTCTTAATGTTTTTCTAGCAAGGATTTCCTTATATACTTCACACCCCTTGTAATTTGCAGGATGTGGTCCTTGGCAGAGAGCACATAGTGCGGGTATATTTCGATCCTTTTTGGTACATTCGGAAGTTTTGTGTTGTTGTCCACATTTTACGCATCTGAATGGCCTCATACAATAATTTTTTGTGTGACCATATTGTTGGCATCTCTGACATTGTGTCATCGACCTTCTTTTTTTTGGATCCTCAATTATAACAGATTGGTGGTAAATGTGTTTTATTTCTTTGGCAGCCTTATTTTGTGGTCCAGGTTTGAGATTTACGAAGTAAATCGTAGTAAGAATGTCAAATTTTTGAATTAAAATTTATCAATTGTCTAGTTATATATCATAGAATAAGCTCTGTTTAGTTTGAGGATAGATGGCACTTGCGAATTGTCTAGGTTTATATGATTAATCCAGAAGCAGTTTTAGACAAAGTTGTCTACATAAGGACCTCTATCTCAACTACTTCAGCCAGCCGCAACTTGTTTCATTGTAAGCTGGGTTTTCGGTTAGAGGGTGGGATACGGCAGTAAAATTATAAGCTATAGATCTATAATATCTAAGCCTACGGTTCCCACTTACTAACAAGTGGGCAATCAGCTTGTTCTACCACTGCAATTACTTAAACAATTTTAGTATATACTTATTTTCGTATACTTTTATTATTTATGTTGTTAACCGGGGCTTAACACGAATATTTTTATGGTAAATAAAGTTATTTACCAGATTTGTGGTCACAAGCTGACTGGAGTAACCCCAGTCAGCTCTGAGTGTTATTGCTAACGGCCTTACCGTTAACAATAAAAATATAGTATATTAAACAAGATATTTAAGATTTTTACTATTATTTCAGACGTTAATTGATGCACTTCATACAGCTGAACCAATCCAATTAGAATTGGATAGGAATCTTCAAGTACTATTGCCATCGCAAGCGGCCACTAAAGTACAACTACCCGCATCGTTTTATGCTCTCACTCCTGAAGAATTGAAGAGGGAACATCAACTAAGGTACCTTTTGCACTACTAGTTATAACCCGCGACTTTTTCCGTAGTCCTTTTATTACAAGATAGACAGATAACCTATATCTGTCTATCTAGCATATCTATATCTCAAATTTCATTAAGATCCGTTCAATTTAGTTGTGATATGTAAGAAACAGATGAACTAACATATTTGCATTTTAAATATGACTTTAGTAGTATTCTACAAAGGCAGACTATATAAAATTGTGTAAAAATAGGGGACTTATCCACATAATTTCAATTATTTCTGCTGATAAGTAATTTGCTGTATAACTTGTATTTTGATTTGCATATTATATGGATGTGTAATTAAAGGGTACCGAGCATGATATCTTAGGCTTCAGAAATGGCAACTCAGGATTAAGTTACGTTATGACGTCCATGATGGTTACCTCTCACCATCAGGCATTTCGTCGTCAGCTTGTTTGTCATTCAAATTACATATTTATGTAAGTAAAGCAGCTCATTGCTTAATTAAAATAAATATTTGATTGTACTAATGAAATAAAATAATTTTTAGAACTGAAGCAATAGAAAGAAGCCAAATGTTACGCACTAAAGCAATGAGGGAGAAAGATGAACTACGTGAAATGAGAAAGTACAAATTCGCCATAATTAGAATACGGTTTCCAGATGGCATTTTATTACAAGTAAGTTTGTTTTTTTATGAGAATTCTACTGCTCAGATGAGAGGCTAAATGCGAAGAATAGAGTCCAATTTAATTTTATATTTATATGAAAATTAGTGAATGTAACGGCTCGTCTAGGTGTTGATTGTGATTGATGATGATGGAGGAAGTGTCATGATATGTTGACCTTAAGTGAAGGTCTACCAGAAATTGCTAGCGATGAGGTCACTAATGTTTTTTGCAATCCTCCTCCCCATCACTGATTTGACCCTAGTAGTAATTGTAAATTGATCCCCCTAGCAGCCATTGTGTTTCATTCCTGGTGAATTTGTCACGATGTGATTCCTGTTTGCTTGCTTATTATGACCGCTTCATGCTTATCCAATATACTATAATAATAATTCTGGTTAATTCACATAGATCCAAGCTAAGCAGAGCTCAACTGATAGAAATACTTGAATACTTTTTTTACGTCAACGCACATATAGACCAATACAAACAATCACTCATGAATGTTAATGTTTGCACCGTGCGAGGAAACGAACCCGCGACCATTGGAAGTAAAGTAGTGTACTAAACCGCTAGACCTATGATTTTTGTATTAAAATATCATAATTTTCAGGGAACGTTCTCAGTATACGAACGCTACAATGAAATATATGAATTTGTTCAAGAAAACCTTGAACACAGCGGTCTTCCTTTCGTCTTGAACACGCCAACTGGCCACAAGTTAAACATAGAAGAGGATGCAAATAAAACCCTTATTGACTTACGATTAGTACCAGCCACAGTGCTCACATTCGCTTGGCACCAGAGTATAATTGAAGAAATCCATAATAGTCCTAATAGCAATGTTTATTTAAGGCCAGAAATTATGGTTCTTGTACAAGAGGTGTAATGGCTTAAACTATATTTATATATATACGTACTGATTACTAAAACATAGAAAATAATAAGTTATTAATTTATTATTTATTTTATTCATCTTTACATGAAATCGTATAATCGTAAGAGGCGATAACTATCTTGTCTGTTATTAAGTTTTCACGTAAAAATAAGGGGGCGTTTTGGAATGAAATCTTCACAGAATACATGGGTCAACATAGTTGAGAAAAATGCTTCTTATTTATTATTAATATTTTCAATACCTAATTTACTATTTTATTAATTCACACGTAATTAAATATTACTAAACGTATAAATAGGGCCGATTTATATATGTTCTTTAAAGTAGTGTATATGTTTATTTTTAACTTTACAGTGATGGATTGGTATTAGATATAAAAAAAGTCAGCGAAAAGTGATTAGACGTATAGCACACAAATCAAAATTTATCGTTCAATACATATTACTAGTATTACATCCTTTCTTCTAACCTGATATTAACGAATTTTTTATTTGACTATTTAAGCCAGACACTTGACCTATATAAAAATGTGTTAATCTTGAATAAAGTATATGTGTTAGGGTTCCCACCATAGTAAGTCAAAATATCTATATACACCACTTTTAAACTACAACGAAATGCGTGGATTAAAAAAGGCGAAAAAAAAACATGTTCATTCACATTACTGGCTTAAGGTCGAAAGACCGATAATTATATTATTTTATGTACAAAGGTATGATCGTCCTGCCACATTAGATTCAAAATATGAAAAATGTGGACAAGTCTTTAGTTCACCAAGACATCAATATTTGACAATGTTACCTGAAACATTGTCAAATAGTTATACGAGGTAATTTGTTTACAAGTCGTAAAGATACTTTAATATTATGATAAACATGTATTGATAAAATCGTGAGCATCCACGGTAATACCGACAGACAATTAGAAAGGATAAATTCAATACAATGTGATATTGAAATAAAATCTGAAATGAAGCTTTTAAAGCACTTGTTTACTATGTACAGGGAAAATAATGCAGTAACTGCGCAAAGGCGATGGCAAGTAAATGTATATATTTGGAATTGGTATTATAAATATATGTATATTTAGAATATTGGCCCAATGTTATCGTCTTGTTCGGTAAAGTTGTATGCCATTAAGGCAATGTTACACTATTAACTTATATAACGTTACATGTATCTTAGGGTAATATTATATTATGAATCACATTGTGTCATACCACCTTTATATAATCTTTTTCAATTAACCTTATATAAGCACTTTTAAATATCGTTTTTTATATCATACTCATTCGCAATTGCAAATTTGAGTAACAAACTTGCTTGTTGCTTTTGTAAGCAATATAGCTAATATTTTGAATTTATTATGAAGTTCTACAATAGCTTATTAAATATGTACTGAAATAATTTTTCAAATCTGTCTTTATAACTAAACGAAAAACTTGTATGTGATTATTGATAATGTAATATGCCACAGTGTGTAACGTGACTTATTTATATAATGTAATGAGCATGTATCAAATATATTAAAATAACGTTAATTATTTATTTGTTTTATTTCTTATAAAATATTACAATTTTATTATACATTAAATGGATTTTTTATGTGAGATTCGACACCAAATCTCTCAGCGTTGGAATTAACTAGAAATTAATTCCGATCCGATCATTAGATTGAATATTTTCTCGCGTCTTTTTACAATCTTGAATGATGCATTAGCACTACAGTAATCATTTTCCTGGTCCAATGGAAGAACTGTCATTATTAGCGATTTAATTGGTTTACGATTATGCTTCATGTTGATACTGGATTGGAATGAAATGCATATTGAAATTACTATGATTATTAACATCTATCCATATGACATGCTGCTAGTAGCTCCTATATTTTGGCTAATAGATACTGGTTCGAATTCATCAGATCTAGCTACTGGAAGATTTTACAATCTCATATATTTATGATGCATTTCAAAAATATTAGAACATTTCAAATATGACAGTGTACCTTAAAGGTGTACTCATTTAAGTACTGGTAAATAACTTGAGCACGATTTCAATACCACGTGACCTGCACAGTAACAATTTATGTACAAATTACAGAGTACGGAGACTTCACATATTAACACATTGCGGGAAACGAGTACTGTTCGTACTCGTTCTGTTATGCGAAGTGGTACCAAGTCGAAGGAAATTTGTAAACAAAAATATTAAGTAGATATATACAGAAAGTAATGTTGATACGAAAATTAAAAAAACACTTTCGGTATGCAGCCATTTGGAGGAAAAATGCCCGACTACATAGCGTTAGTAATCTGAATGAGAACGCTTGAGTGGTACGACGAACATTTCACGTGTAATGTTTACGTATATACATATATAAGGGCCACTTACCATCACGCGCCATCAGCTTGTTATACCAGTTACATATATGTAAAAAAGCATCATTCAAGTTATTTACCGCGAACTGTAGAAAATGTATTATAAAAATAAAAATACTACTGATGTATACTTCAAGCGACATCGCGGCCGATTTGTTCAGGCACTTTATTCTCGATGGTGACAGATTTCGTACAATCTTCCGTCTTGTAAATGCCTACCAGTCGATTGGATACCTCGAACATGTTGTACCTTAGGGAGATTATTATGAACTGCGCGTTTTTGGTGCGGTCCTGTGGAAAAATGAGAAGAATTCATTGCTTGATAAATTTTTACGTTTCTTTTACTTTCTATATTACAGTAAAGTGACATCATAATAATCATTTCACTATTTTTTGCGTGAATAAAGTTTGTGAATATGGATGGATGTTTATTAGTCTTTCACGCAAAAACTACTGAAAAGATTTTGATGAAACTTTACAGGAATATAGCTTACACATCAGAATAACATATATATATATATAATATACATAAATTTCACGGGGGTTAAAACGCGGCCACAGCTAGTCTTATATATATATATTATTATTAAGATAACGAAGCAGGAAGGCCCACATTATTTTTTATCCAACTTTCTTACTAAAAATGAAGCTTGTCTATTGAAGTTTAAATTTTCGCTTAAATAATTATAATCATATCTGAGATACTAATTTATAAATGTCTAGCTGTTATCTGTCTGCTATCTATACTCACAATTTTTCGCGTTTATAATATTGGTAAGATAAGTTACATAAAATCTTGTTACTGTACTTTACCTTAATATAATTAGCAACGATGGATACATTCTTGAAGTCCAACGCTGCGTCTATTTCGTCCATCACGTAAAGTGGAGTTGGCTTATAGTAATGTAACGCGAATACTAGCGCCAACGAAGATAGTGTTTTCTCTCCGCCTGATAGATTTGATATGTTCTTCCACGACTTGTTTGGTGGCCGTACACTGTAATAATAACATCATACATAATAGGGGCCGTGTATTTATTTGTGCATTATATATAACAGTGGTAAGTAACATGTCTATCCATTTGTGTGTAAGGTTTCACAATGAAAGGGCTGCAGGAATTAGTGTAAAATAATGGTTCTATTAAAGACCTTGTTCATTTGAATATTTTCGATACGTCAAAAATATGTTAAATTACTTAATCTATAAATAAAATACTAGATGATGTCATATGGATATTTCATATATAGTTATCGCTTGATTATTCATCGAATAATGGTTCTTAAGGTTCATTTGTAAGTGCACGAAGTTGCGGTCGCAAGTTGTTAATATTTTCCGAGATGTATTCCATCAGATGCTTTAAAATTAGTTAATTTTGTTACTTTAGTGAATATATTAAAAATATATTAAAAAGTAAGTATTGACCCCATTAAAATATTATAACACATTTCAGTAGTTTTTTTAAACAATTTTTTACCTCTATGAAAATTGTAAAATATTACTTTTGTCATTTTATTACTTACGTAAATGGCTGAAAAGTAAAGGACGAAATATCTTAATAGTTATAAGGGATGGATTTATTTATTTGATGTTCAAAACCTTCTAAAAAAAAAAGATTAAAATTTGTTTAGTAGTTTATATATTAAATAAAAATAATTATAATTTTTTATAAAGTCTTTTACCTATATAAAAATATTATCAACAAGTTTTAAGTGCTATTATATCTAAAAGAAATTTGAGATTTCTACAATAATTGCATCCCTGAACGTTACTAATTTTAGAAATAGTGTCTGTTTGTCCCTCTTTTAATTTTTACGATTAAACAGCTCGACGGATTTTAATGAAATTTGCCGTGAAGAGAAGAGCTAGATATGGTATTCCCTCATGCTCATCCTATCATCCTCCACTGGTGCCCCGCCAGCGTAAACCGTTAGCGCAGGCGAGTGCACCATTCCATTATCATCCACAAAAAAAAAAAACGAGGACGGCCATATTTTATCTCAAAAAAAGATCATAACAGTTAATGTCAAAATCTTACAAAGCTTCGGTCACTTATGTATCTCATATAAAAAGAGCAAATCGTTAAAACTCTACCTGAATATAATGCCCTCTGTGAATGGATCCAAGGAATCCACCAGCTCGAGTTCCGCATCACCACCCAAAGTTATCATCTGATACATTTCTTTTAGTTTCGTTGTTATAGTGTTGAAACCTAAAACCAAAATTATTCTACTTGACATACTAACTACACATTTTTTTTTACAACAACCGTTTGTCCTGATGACATCACATGATGACGTGATGCACTCTTCATTTAAGTTGGTTATGGTTCTCACGCATCACCAGGTAGGTCGTCAGATTGTTATACTTTCTAGTGCATCATCAACAATCTTTCTTTGCACTACTCATGGTTGACTGTGCCACAAGAATTTTAACCTTTGTTTTATGTACACTATAGTTAAATAAATATCACTGTCTATTGCTACAATATACTACTACTACTACTACAATATCCCAGAGAAAACTTTATTTAAATCAGTAACGATCTTAATGAGATTAATGTGTAAAAACAAATATAAAATAATATAAGTAAAAATAAAAAAAATATTCTTTTCACACCTGATAAGAAGTCCGTAGTGCGTTTCTTCCTTAACTGATCATAGAGAGCTCTCATTTCGTTACGTTTGGTTGTGATTTCATCCAGTTCGGCCGCTCTCTTCAAATATAACTCCTCTTTTGTTCGGTAATCCTACGTAAGATAAATACGAGTAAGGTATGGAATATGTTTATTACGGTTCTCTAAGATGGGGATAGTTGACTAATATTTGATGCACTACAAATAATAGACAACTAATAGAATTATTTAATACGTTTTAGTGAAAAAATCTACCTTATTCAAATTCAAATTCAAAAATCATTTATTCATGTAGGACATATTAGCCGCTTATGAACGTCAAATTTTTTACATTATAATTTTATTTTTTCCCTACCGTCCAGTTTTCCCATTCGTGACATTTTAGCCACATATGTATCAAGATTTTTGTGTTAATAGTTTTACATCGTCCAGTACACTCTACACATTCAATTGAGGAGAACAGGCAAGAAACTCAACTAATTTCATTTTTAGGACAGTTTGATATTATTGTTTGCTCATAGGTGTATATATTTAATATTAAATGAAAATCCCATGCATAAATTACTATTGCCATGCACATTTGTCGTTCATGTAATCATTTACTGACTAATAGGGTTCGCTCAATAAATATGATATAACAGAAGTTTTTAATTTATTTAAAGGTACAATAATTCCAGAATATTCTTTGGTACGTTATTGTAAAATTTTATAAAGTACCTATTGACTTTTATTAAGCGATATTTAGTCTTTAAAAAATATTGTCTTCAAATCTAATATTAATATTTTGCCTATTTAGCCTTACTCTTGAATATAATTTATTTTCCTGAAAGCAACCATCAATTAAAAAAAGAATATTGTCAAAAAAAATTAAGTTCACCTGTATAGCTTGTATATTAGGTTTGGCATCTCCCAGCCTGGCTTTTTGTGCTGAGAGTCTGTTCCTTAACTCGTCAACTGCCACATTCTCCAATTCCTCAGCAGTGTGCCGCTCTAAAGGTTCCGGTCTCTCTATACCGGGGATATTGTCCAAACCTGGATCCTCTAGTTTTAACGTCGTTAACTGAAAAATAATAGGAAGTAATAAGACAAATAGGGTAAGAGTTATAATAATACTCTTTATTGCACTTCTATAATAATCATGTAAAAAATAATCACACTTATTATTACAAATGTTTATATGGTGTGAGAATCGGTATGCTAACCCCTTAGAACTTAGGACGTTATAAAAATATCTTAACATATAAGAAATATTCTTTATAAATATATAAGAAATATGATGAGAGCAGCGTTTATAAATGAATAATACTTGCTATTAAAATTTATTAAACGGCTATTACTAAATTACTAATTGAGACGAAATTTTAACATAAATTATTGTTAAATCTATATCAACATATAAAGTAAAGAAAGCTGAAAAAATCTGCTAATGCGATGATTTTTTTAAAATATTTATTAATAAGATAACAGATGGCGCTGTATAGTTGCTTCATTTATTGTTATCGTGTGGTACCAATGTATTACGGTAATAAGGTACACGATAATAAAATCCTGAGTAGAGCTAATACATAATAAAAAGTACCTCTTTCTCCCACATTGGTGTTTTGCTTTTGCAATCCTGTATAGATTTCTCCACTTTATTAACAGCATTATTGGCCTCGAGTCGTTCGCCCTTTATCTTGTTCTCTTTGCTCTGAAGCTTTGATATCTCTTGTTTCAATTCTGTAAACTCGCCGGAACCATCGCTTATTTGTTCTTCTAACTACAATAGTAATGATAAATTATCAACTAAGCTTCAGACCACTCAAGGTTTTTTTTATGTATGATAAGGAAATGGTGCACCCGGCTGCGCAAACGGTTTACGCTGGCGGGACACTAGTGGAGGATGACAAGATGACCATGAGGTCAGGTCAATTAGCCCATAGTGGTAAATTCTGTTTCTATCTATTAAAAAATATAATTAACTAGCTGTGCTCGTGGTTTCCTCAGCGTTAGATCTATGTGTTATTCTGATGTATAAGCTATATTACTGTAAAGTTTCATCAAAATCCGTTCAGTAGGTTTTGCGTGAAAGTGAAAGAGTAACAAACATCCATCCATCCATCTATCCATACTAACAAAGTTTCGCATTTATAACATTAGTAAGATATACATAGTTACCTCTTCCATTTCCTTCTGCAGTCTAGAACTTTCCAGAGTTAGCTCCTTTTTCTGATTACTTAAGCTTTCTAAATTCTTCTCTGTTTCCTTTTGATCACCCTCCATTTGATTTATTTTGTCTTTTGATTTTTTTGCATTTCTAAAATAAAAATTTAGTCACTTATTACATGAAATCGCCGACACTGTCGTTTTGAACTATTTTGATCATTGGATATAAAGCTACAAAACATTGTAATAGTCAAAATTTTTTATTAAATGATTGTAGAATATTAGTTTACATTTAATTAAATAAATACGAACCTTATGCTAGTATTAATAGCGACCTTCAACTTAGTAATCTCTGTAGACACTTTGTCTATTTTCTTAGCGAGTTCATCTACTGTCTTTTGTAAGTCCTTCACCTTCCCACCTGCTACAGCTGTTATTTGGGCATCGACACCGTGAACTTCTTTTTCTACCTGTTTCATATCATTAATGTAATATATTTTTTTAATCAAGTTGTAAAAAAATGTTAAATGTTATATGTATTTAATTTTTCTTATTTCATCTAAAGCTGTGAAATATTAGTTAAATTAGATATAACATGTTTTCTTTTAGTTTAAATTAGTATTTTTTTGAGTCATTCTATAATATGTAATGATTTTTTTTTGCAGTGTGCTAATAAAAAAATACTATATGTATTTGTTGACATCCATGTGAGTAAGGAGAAATATATATATGTTATTTTTTTATTATATGTATGATATCTATTTTTTTATTATTATTGCGCCTTAAAAATACAAAATAAAACGAATGTACAAAAGGCGGTTTATCGCTTATTATTTATTGTATGTTGTAAGCAAAAAATAGAGTCTTTATTGTTTAACACATGGTTTGTTATAAAAAAATAATGTAGACAAATTTCTATATTAATTTTTAAAACAAACCATGTAAATTATTTAATGAATTTAGATTGTCATGTAAATTATTTATAGAATTTTATTTATTAAGTTTAGTCAAAAATATAAAAACATATTTTTTTAAGTAATAGGTACAGTTATTTTGGTGTGTCATCCACATTATTCGATATGAGTAACAAGACAAGACACTGATATTTGTGTAAGAATTTGTTAACATTGTCACTCAAATATCAATTAATGGGAAATGCTATAATAGAATTATAATATTATTAAAAGTCTTAATTGTGCTTACCTCTCCCGCATCATGTTTAGCTTTCTCAAGCTTCTCTTCAGCTGTTTTCAGCGTGGCTTCTAATTTCGCTTTCTGTCTTGCGTCTACTTTGCTGGACGCCGCTTTATTTTCTTGTTGTTTTATTTGATTCTATTAATATGTTAAGACATAATTAAGACATTATCATTAAGAATATTAGGTACACTTTTACAAAGTCGTTTTGAGTGGGCGTCTTGGCTTTGCCACTAATCAATTCGAATTGTTAGTTGTGTTTTGGTAGGCGGTTTGACAACTCCGTAATGCAAAAGCAAGTATTTAGTAATTATTATTATGATATATTTTTGTTTACAGATAGCAATCTGTTACATTTTATACATAATGATAGTTTTAATAATATTACCTTTAATAAAGGCACTTGTTCAGTTAAACTTCTCAACTCTATACTCAGTTTGTTGAGTGTAGTCTTGCCCTCGCGCGCACTGCGTTGTACTGTCACCATGGAGTCTTCTAATTCTACTTGTTCATTGCGTAATTCAGTTAACCTAATAACATTAGAAATATACAATTATAGTTATTTGAAAATATATTGTTATATTATACTAGCTGACCCGGCAATCGTTTTGTTATATAAAATCAGTTATCTACCGCAGTGAGTAGAATATTATTAAAGTAGATACTAATATCCATTGTAAAAATTTAAATATACAAAAATACATAAATTGTCTGTAAAAATGCATCTGATAGATATATATTGACTTTATTAGACACTTGGATACCTGGAGGTATCTAAATACATAAACTAGATGAATCTCATTTATGTGTTTAGCTTTATTTATTGTTTTATAGTGATTATTTTATGTTCAAATACATAAGTATTGTGGAATATTGAACAAAATTCTTATGGTTTTACACTGGAACCTTTCTAGTATTTCAATATTGCTGTTGCTGGCTAAAGTTAGAGGTACAGGATACCATGTCTATTGTTACGTACATAAAGTATTCTGTCAAAGTCAATGTCGATAATAAATGTCAGATGTCATACAGGTTACCTACACAGTTCAGTTCTATGTTATTGAGAAATGCAGTGTAATGATATCCATGTTAATTAGTTAATAAATACATATATATAATAATATACTTTTCCGATAAGAACCTACATATACAACATCTATATACAGTAGTGTAATATTGACAATATTGACCTCTGATCGAGTGTAGCCAGTTTGTTCTCGCTGGCTTCTAAGGCTCTAGGATCTTGTTCGCTGGTGTCCTGTTGTACGGAACTCGACATGCGGCCGCGCATCGTCGTCTTGCCACCGCCCGACATTGTACCTTTCAAAATTATATAAAATTAGTCAAATTCGGAAACGACAGTCGGTTATATTGAATGGTAATTCAATAAAAAAAAATCCGTTAGAAAATCAATATACCAGCAATCTCGATGACGTCACCCTTTAAAGTGACCACCCTATATCTCGTTTGGCCGTAAGCTATCCGTGAAGCTTGCTCCAGGTCGGTAGCAACCAGAGTGTCCCGTAGTGCGAAGTAAAAGGCGGGCAACACACGCTCATCTTTCACTTTCACGAGGTCAAATAAACGTGGCACGTTTTCTGGGCTGTGATAAAAAATAATGGAACAAATTTAAATAATCTCATTCATAATTTAAGAGCTACGCTCTTGTCGGTGGAGTTTTTTAAATTAACTATGTATAGAGTTAAATAATCTATACATAGTTAATTTAAATCACTTTGTAATGAGCTACATTTAAATTATTCTTTACATTTACAGTGTTGAATAATAGAAGGAAACTCAGCATTACCTCAGTTATAAGTTATTTTAATGTAGTCTACATAGTAAAAACTAGTGGTTTGCCTTCCAGAGCAGACAATGCACCACATTTGCATCATTGCGGTACATATATAAAGAAAGAAGGAAGGAAGGAAATAATTTATTACTCATTAGGTAACCCTTCTCTCGTAGTATTGAATTAAATGCTGTTGCTTGTCAAGCGCTATGGATGTCCCTCGGCCGACATTATACAACTTGAAAGATCTATCTCTATCTATACACGCGTCTCAAGTATTTTCAAACGTAATAAAATTATATTGATTGTTCATTTATTACTCACTAGGTAACCCTTCTCTCGTAGTTTTGAATTAAATGTTGTTGCTTGTCGAGCGCTATGAATGTCGCTCGGCCGACATTATGCCGCTTGAGATGTTCGAGACACGCTTGGCCTGCTTCCACACTTTCCACCACTATGTTGTCGAGCGCACCACAGCATGTCGATATCGCTACGTCGTACTTCGCATCAATGCCACCCAAGTCGCCCTATATAAAACAAATAGAAGTATATACATATAATAAAAAAATATTCGTTTGCGCCAAATGAATATACAAATGTAACAGAACAACTAAATGTTGAAGTTATATGAATTTTGCCTTCATAATGGCATTTTACAAGTTATTCGGTTGGAAGAAGATAGTGAAATTACAAGGTAAGGGATATAACACATTAGTCCTTAAGGAAAAGCAATACATTAGAGGTGCCACTACGTAGTAGACAAAAAATAAGGACGAGACATTTTATTGCATCATCGGCTCCAAGGAAAGAAAAATAGAAAATTATTATTTAAATAAATTTAATATAAGCACAGAGAAATAAGGTTTTGAGACAGAGAAATAAGGTAGAATTTACAATAACTAACCAATCTCCCAAATATTCCAGACAACCGTCCACTTCTTTTCTCCTTCATGAGCGAGTCCAACACTCTTCCTCGAGACCTGTTCGCGCTCATTGCTTGCCTCGACTCTTCTAATTGTGCCCTAGCAACATAAAGTCAAACATAAAATTAATTCAGGCAGTTTTTTTTTATACCAAAAAGGTAGGAATCAAGATTCGAGTACTCATGAATGAGTCGATAGGTATGCATGAATCTAAAGTGAAAAGTGCATTATTCCATATTATCATATACTATGTGCCACACGTCGCTACCACAAAGCCTTAAGACCAAGGGTTATAACCAGTGCGTCCTACCCGTTATGACATACGGTGCCGAAACGTGGCACTGACGATACGTCTGGTCCACCAACTCAAAGTAGCTCAACGAGCTATGGAAAGGGCTATGCTTGGTGTTTCTCTGAGGGATTAAATCCGTAACGAAGTAATTAACGCCAGAGAACTAGGGTCACCGACATAGCTCTTCGTATTTGCAAGTTGAAGTGGCAGTGGGCTGGTCATATATGTCGTAGAACCGATGCTCGCTGGAGTAGGCGTGTTCTAGAGTGGAGACCGCGAATTGGCAAACGTGGTGTAGGACGCCCCGCAGCTAGGTGGAGAGACGACATACGTAGGGTTGCGGGTAAAAAATGGAAGAGAAGGGCTGAAGATCGTGCCCAGTGGCGTGTCTTGGGAGAGGCCTATGTCCAGCAGTGGACTGCAGTGGGCTGATGATGATGATGATATACTAAGTATGTATGTATGTATATAAATAGAACTAATTAAGTTATAAGTATATGGGCAGAGTTATGGTGCGGACTACTAAAAAGTTATATTCTTACCTCAAATTTCTAACTTCTCTTGACACCGTCGACTCTTCAGATTTCAACCATTGTAATTGGGTTTTCATTTCTTGCAGTTGCTTTTCATTTGAAGGCACAGTTGTTGATAATTCTTCTTGTAAGCTGTATGATACATGAAACCCAGATTGAGTTATTATTTATAAAAAAATAGATAAAGAAAAGTATCAGATATATTTTAAATTAAATCGAGACCTGCCAAGCCATTGAACCAATTCAGTTAACGAGTTTAAGAATTTTCAGTGTGTACAATGCAAATAAAATATAAATTTCAATGAAGTATACTTTGTAAGAGAGACAAATTTCTTAATAGTCCATGGATTCAACGTGCGAGTACCGAGTCCATCGTGTGGTAAAGAGCGAAATTCCAAACAGTTCCCGAGATTTTAAAACCCGGGTATAGATTTAAGGAGATTCTTGCCGACGAACGTCAACACTCACCACTCGTGTTTCTCTCCCTACCCAAATAAATCTGATAGGACCACTCATCAATGAGTCACCTATTTCAGCCGTACGGAATTTTTACTGGGGTGTTTAAGTTGTTTAAGTTATAGGTGTTTAAGTTGTAGAGTGAGATTAGACAGTGAAAGTACAGTTTGTGTTGCATGATATCTTAGTCCTGCGAATGGTAACAGATGTGGAGTATTACAGTGGTCATATGATAATGTGATGTCTGTAGTGCTGTTCATGTATATAGGAGACGCGACGGTTACCTCTTACCATCGAGTGGACCATTACCAGCTTATTGGCCATACCAATAACATAAAAGAGCTATATAATAGTTATATATACGAAAATGTTTATTTCTTTTTAATATCCTTTTTCAAAGTTGAAAAGAACAGATGTATAAATTTGTATGTTACACAACGCAAATACAACGGGACAAAGGGATAGAAAATATACTGCTCTCTCTATCCCGCTCAGAGGAAGAGAATATAAACCTACTATTACAATGTTGACTGGGTGAATTGGCATTAGTTTAACTTTAAAAATTACTTACCCTTTCTTCTCTTGTAAATCATTGGCCGCCTTTTCATATGCTTCTTTCATCTTCTCCAACCTCTCTGTTTCCTTCTGCTCTGTGCTGACATAGATCTTGAGTTCGGATTCTGTTAACTTGTACTCTTTATTGGCCTCGTCTACTATCTTCTTGAGATCCATGAGCTTGGCTTGTAACCTGTCTTTGGTTTCTTGTAAACCTTGAGTTTTTGATCTATAACAAATGCAAGATACAACATAAACTTTGATGACGGCGTAATCGATTTTGATGATATTTTATATGTATACTTGGCAGATTATCTATTTTTATATCCCTAAGTGATAAGGGTAGCCCACCTCATAATTTTGTTTATATTTTTTTGTCAATTTTTTAACTTGTATTTTTTTACGATGTGACATTAAAAATACAAAAGGTATTAAATTTTCAACCTTATAGGACCAATTTTTTGACACCGACATTAATTCAATAGGTAAAACAACGTTTACCGGGTCAGATAGTCTTATATATAAAATTCTCGTGTCACAGTTTTCGTTCCCAAACTCCTCCGAAACGGCTTGACCGATTCTCATGAAATTTTGTGAGCGTATTGAGTAGGTCTGTGAATCGGCCAACATCTATTTTTCATCCCCCTAAATGTACCCTTAACATTTAGGGGGATGACAAATAGATATTCATTCCACCCCTAATTTTTTTTTTCATTTTAAGGCAAAACAACGTTTCCCGGAACAGCTAGTATAATATAAAATTCATAAACTAAAATTTTAGTCATAAGTAAATATGTTTAAGTCAGAATTAACTATAGGTAGTTTTTATTACATAGAATATTTATTCACCTGACACCAGCCATAACTGTTTGTAACTCCTCTTCTGATTGTTTCTTGCTCTCTTTATGCTTTACAAGCAATTTCTCGCAATCTTCAATCTCCCTTTTATTTTTATCTGGAATCTGAAATAGACATAGACAATTAATATCTCTGTATTATATTATTGTCTACATACTCCTTACGCAATGACGTGGTAATAAACATTTTTATATTGTACCGCAAACAGCATTCATTTTCGGTAGTATAAATCACCTTCATATTTATTTGTGCAGACATTCTTATCCTATTATTATGGGTTGTAAATCTATAGCATTGTGTACAAATATATACCGCGACATATACATAATATATACTGCGACTTCTTCTGCACAATCATACCCTATTTTAGCCTCTACCAAATTTTTTTTTTAAATATCAGCCTATGTCATCGTGATACAATCTATATTCATATCAAATGTCATAAAGATCAATTCAGTTTAGTCGCAGGAAGGTAACAAAGATACATACGCTTATAATATTAGTAGGGATATATATTAGACTTCTTACCAACTCTAAATCAATAAGTTTCCCTTTCTCCTGCTCTAACAGTTGTTCTAGATTCTTCTTTTTCTTATTGGACTGTGTCGTATCTGCTACTACAGACACCATCTTCTTTTTGCAAGCTTGTAACTTCTCTGATACTCCTTCTTTTTGTTTCTGTAGTTGGTCATATTTTCTGAAAACAAATATATAGTATGTTTTTGAAAAATATTGTCAAACAATTAAAATCCTAATACTATTTGCTAGCGCCATAGTACAATAACTATTGTAACTTCTAAGGCAACTTACGGTACATCACATATTTTTAAATTTTGTTACTTGCTATTTGCCATCAGCCAATTAGCTTTTACATACATTTTGCTTTTCAGGCTTTAAATGCTTACATACATTTTAGTGAATAAGAATCACATCCATTCAACAAGATTCTAATAACCCCAAGATCTTGTTATAGATATACACGCTAAAACCGTAATCTTAAGTGATCTAGAAATCAAGTGTGTGTGTATCTGAGGTATCATAGCTCCAAAACGAACGGGTCACTCGGCTCAACGGGTCAGATGTCGATAACAAGATGGTTGATCGTTACGATCGGTTCAGGTGTCTCAAGGCCATCAGCTCGTATATTTAACTTTTTGGAGGTTTTGTGTCTGGAGTTATTTAAAACAATTAATTTTACACTTGAGAACTTGCTTGTTCATTAAATGTATAAATATTATTTAAAAATAATATAAACTTGTAATACTACTCACTGGGTACCATTTTTAAGAACAGTTGTTTTTTCTTGCAGTTCCTCTTTTAGTTTTGTTAATTTCTCGTCAATTTGGGACAACTTTTCCTTGACTTCTTCCATTTCTTTCTCTTTGGATTGTATAATTTTGTTGGTTTCGTGTCTGAAAAAGTAATATTAGTTGCTGTCGCGAACAATTTTTTATACCTATTTTATTGTCTACGTTTTTTATAATAACTATATTATTTTACATATATGACATTAGTGAATAAATTTAAAACTAATATTTTGCGACTATACCGGTGCCTTTTCTTTGCTCATCTTGTCCTTAATCTCGTTCCTTTACAGTTGCATAAAATCTAGGCTATACAACTATAATCTTGCTTAATTAAGGACATTCACCAAATCCAGTGGTATTAGGAATACGTATATATAATTCAACTTTCCGCAATACAATTAAATATTTTATTGAAGTTGATCATTCATCAATTAATAAATCGTGCACTAGGCCACAAGTTTGTCTTGTCTAACAATAGTTTTTATGATAATGTTTACATACATATATTTCTGTAGTAACATATTCCTTGAGCGCAGCGCTGTATTGGTTAAGTTCATTTGCTCAACGGCCTCCCTCATAGGCTGCTCCAACTTCTGTTTCTCTTGTTCCACCAAACGGACCCTGTTCAGTTTCTCTTTACGCATCTCTGTGTATTCCTCCACTTTGACTGACAGCTTTTCTATAGGTTCCTGAAAGTTTTTTTAAACTTGTAAAGTATGATTTTGTATGACAAGGCCGTAAAGTAAAGTACCCGGTCTACTGATTCGTTTTTGGATTTTTTTAGTAGGATTGACTATTTACGTAGGATATGACTATATAACAAAATATAATATGTTGCAAAAAAGTGAGCCAGACGAAGTTCGAATAATCAGAAATAAATATTGCAAAAATGTATATCAGTACCTTATATCTAGATGTTCCTATAATATCCTCCAGATACTCCAGCATGCCGGATTCGTGTTCTGTCTGAGCTTTAGGCTTCATCATGGCGATCTGCTCTACTTCACCCTAAATCAAATATAATCATATTTTATTCACTAACATATCAGCATAATGTCATACATTTAGCACTGGTTTTCGAAATAGGTATACCTGTCCACAAAAGCCAGTTCCCTCCAATATACTATAAACATTTAATTTGTAGATATCGATAATACAAAAACAATTGTGAATATATATATGATTATTTACAAATTAAAAAAAAAGGTAATTAGTAATGTACCAACTTGTAAAATAAGAAATCTATTGTGATCCAAATCAATTCCGTGTGATCTTAACATTTTGGCGACTTCCTTGAACTGCACTCTTCGACCATTGAGGTTGTAATATGAGGAATTATCCTTAAACGCTGTACGGGACACCACAATCTCACTGTTTGGGACCACAGTGTAGTCTTCGCCTTCCTGTACAATGAAAGAAACTTTTATAAATTTCTAAGTTATTACTTGTTGGTTTATCTTAGTTTCCTATATTTTTTTATTGAAGGGTTTGGACTATTGTCTGGTGCTTGATCCTGTAGCACTGCGACCTACATAGATCTGTTGCGCTCGCCCTTTTTCAGAGTTCGCTACCTAGACCCGTCAAGCAGTTATATAAACTATAGTTTCCTATAGTCGCGGGTTCATTTCCCGTACAATATAGGTAAACAATTGTGTTCATAAAGGTGTTATTTTATACTAGCTAAGCCAACGACTTCATACCCGTGCACCATTACATTTGGAATAATAATAGTTCATAACTTCGAGATTCGAACCTAGGAATTAATCGTAAAAAGCATCGTAATTTCAATCCCAAATCGAACAGGGAATCGATCGTATGGGCCGACATACATACATACATATTTATAATGCAAAAATCAATGTATATAAGATGATTCGATATTGGTAATATTTCATGTTATGGAATTTAATTATCTACATATCGTCTAATATTCAAATATACTTTCAAATGAAAACAATTCGATATGCTTTGATTAATGCCACAGTATAGTGATGTACTAGTTGTTTTAAAATAAAGAAAAAAATTAAAGTAGTAATATGAATATGTAAATAGAAATAGAAATGAGCAAAATATAAAAAATCAAATTATTCCTCATTATAACATTAGGAGATGTAAATAACAATCGATTCAATCGATTCGATTCCCTCTCAACACGTTTGTAGTCATGATTGTTTCTAGTAATCAGTGTTATTTGGGTAATTTATGTATATGTTTATAAAGAATAAATATTTCTGTCAGTTGTTTAGTACTAATAATATAAAATCGGCTTAGTTTGGGACTTCAGCGATGTGTTTCTCATTATTAAAAAATATGTTTCTCGAAAAGTCATATGTCTATGGAACATCACTACGAAGAAATTATTTTCAGACCGTTGCTAAAATATGATGCCATATAAACAGAAATGTGAGGAGGTCGTTAGTCAATAACTAAATAAGGAGACTGGGCAACATGAACTTCCTCTTATTTTTGTGTAAGTATTTTTTATTGATTTTAGTTATTTTTATTAGGTAAATGGTATTTAGCACCCGCCTGTGAAAGGTAGACAGAGGTATCCATGGAGACGACTGTTTATAAAAAAAAAACCTCGTTGAAAATATGATTTCATCCTCATACCCTGCTACTCCGTCGGTTAACCCATCACGGCGAATTCATCAGGAATAAACCATAATAGTTTCTAGGTGACCGTGTGGAATTCCACCTGATATTGTACCTAAATGATTCCCACTATTAGACTATTTTCCTTCCTTCTTATATCATATATTTTTATTTAAATAAAACTTATATCAGTATTTCTATCATTTGTCTAGTAACATTAGTACAAGCCCTGCTTACTTTGGTTACTAGATGGCGCTGTGTGAGTTCTCACAGTTACAATAACAACTCTTTATTGCATACACTGAACAAATACAAAGAGAAAAACAGTATGTTGGAAAGTACATAAACAAAAACTATCTTGCCACTAAAGACATTTATTTAAACAATTACTATTTCAGTTACTATATTGGGACTAGCTGCGATGGGACACTGCATGCAGAACCACTGGGTGTGCGCCAGTAACTTGAAGACATACGAGGGCACATGCAACATGCGTTGTGATGATCCTACAGCATATGTATTGTACCACGGCAGATGCGAAGTTCCGCCCGGTCTCGGCCGTCCGCTTGTGAAACCAATAAATCCCACCTATATTTAGGTGAACTAATCAATAAAATTTTAAATGAGAAATTTTAGTTTTAATTATGAACCTTATATAGAGTAAGGCTCACATTTTCGATAAGAGTCGGACGAACTGCACCGACGACGACGTACGATTGGCTCTCTTTGGAACTATGCCAATTGAGCGGATACGTCAGCACGTGTCGTCCGATCTGATGTGCGCTTTAAGTCATTGTCGAAAAGGGATATTTTGTCGAACTATACTAATGTCATTGGTAGCTGGCCTTTACAGCTTCTTGAGGCGTAAATCAATTACACTATTTCATACGTTTTGTAAAGCTTTATCTGTTCTGGTAATCCTGGAGTTGTATTACCATATACCACACAAATTATAAAAACAGAAAATAGTTGCTACATTTCTTTATACACTTAAATATTTTTTCTTTACATCATTAATTGCATCATCCTTACATTTACGCCACATAGGTCCGTCAAAAGATCTTACACTTAAATTTTATTATTATAGACATTACAGAATAATTTACTAACAATTGTATTGATAATTAATAGCATAATAATTTGTATAGGAGTTGTTGCTTCAGGTTTGCACAATTGGTAATAAATATTAGTTTTATTACAAATCCTATACAAATGTATAACAAATAGATCAATGTTTATTATAAATACAGGAGAATGTAATATAATTTGACTGTTATTTTAAAACCTTAAATAGTTAAAGGCACTTTTGCAATGAAGACCATATCGAAACTATGTGAGTACCAGTAAGTTATCTATCTCTTAAAGTATTGATGATTATAGATATTTATAAAAAATATATATACTTCAAATGTGGTCTTCAAACCGAAAAAGTCGTGTGGTAAATTATATTATTATAAGCTTAAAAGAATAATCAATATTTGTTCCAATCTTATTCAAAATTGATGTCAATAAATCTAATGAACATAATGATATAGACAATAAACATAGGATATATTGATTTTAAAAAGAAAAGTAGATGATATCAAACAGGTAACAGCTAGTTTATTATTGTAGGAACAAAAAAGATATTCTTTTTTCTGTAAAGACATAAACGTAATTTATTCTCCTTTCATTGTAAAGCCAATCAATTATATCTTTATCAGTATATTTATAACATAACAAATCCATAGACAAGATTTCTTCATTCACTCATTACTCTTTTTTAACTTTTTATGTTTTTTTTTCTAGTCTATATTCTGGTGCTGTTAGGATCAACAATAGGTAGTTACAATTGCAACTGTCCACCTACAGATGTTTGGCTGTGAGCAAGCAACTTGCAATCTTACAATGGCGTATGTGACATGTTATGTTACGATGAGAACCTATATGTATTGTTCTATAGCAGATGTGAGGTTGGTAATCCGAAACCTAAAGTATTACCAATTGGAGCATCAAATTATGGAGGATAAGGGTAATATTTAAATGTAATAATGTTAATTCTTTTATAAAATGTATTAAATGCATACAATAAATATATTTAAACAATTCTCACAGTTGTTTTGATTTAATTTTCAGCTCAGTTCAGTTTCTTCAATTCCAAACTAGATGGCCCAAGGTAATGTTATTATTATTATGTTTAATAATAGACATTACAAAAAGGACATAGAGTGGATACCTTTGTCTCATTTGTTTCAGCCAAGAGGGACTTTTTATGGAAGTTGTATTTGCATTGACGGGTGAAATTAAGCAGTTAGTTAAATGCAGTTAGTTGCGTGTATTGCACATATTCGGGCACCTACTGAAAATCAGCTTTCTGCTTGTTCGGCAAATTAATCACTCAGTCGCAACTCAATCATAACACAGGCAAATGTTACAGGCATTTTATATTTAGAATTTAAAGTGTATCATTATTACTACATTTTTGTATTTATTTGTTATATGAAATGTGTTTCAGTTGATATTAATAAACATTTGATCTATCTATAATCACACCCATATACATACCCCATCAATGATCTGACAGAAGTGTACAGCTACACTGGCGCTGGTTATGTTCGGAAACTTGCTGGAGGAGTGAATCAGTACCGAGATCTTCTTGGACCGTATCTTTGTTGCTCGGTATCCAAACACAAACAGCATAGAATCAATAACATTGCTTTTTCCACTCCCATTTGGACCTATTATGGCTGTGAAACTCTGAAATTAAGAATAAATTTCAGTTACAGAAAAAGAGAAATAAATATTATGTTTTAATTGTCAATCACAGAAAAATTGTATTTAAATATGTATATTTAAGCATATTATAAGTTTAGGGTACTAAACTGCAAAATAAAACTAAAATACAAGTTCTGCATAATTAAGAATTATATGGCACTGTGTGGATTGTACAAAATATATATCTTTTAAAGTAGTAATTATAATCCAGAAATAGTTATAATTACTATTTAAAAGATTAATTTAGATTTGTAACTCAAGTCTGTCCATAGTGGACATAACTCAAATCTAAATTATTCAATTAGTCTTTCATAATTTATATTAATTAATATTAATTCATTAAATTTATTCTTAAGAAAAAAACAATAATTAAAATATACAATTTACCTTATGAAAAGGACCCAATGTTTGTACTCCAGCATAACTTTTGAAGTTTTCATTGACAATATGTGTGATCAACAATCTTGGTCCCGTAGCATCAAAGGTCAATGCAGGTTTTGGGGCCGGAGGTATGTAAATATCACCGATACGCATACCACCTTCTTCATCATCTGATATGTGGTCGATTTCGTCGTTAACGTTTTCATCACAGTTCTGTGATGATGTGGGATTTTCGTCAACTTCCATCGGTTCCTCATCACCCTTTTTCTTTTTTGTTTTCTGCATTATAACCACCAAAATAACACTTTTATGTTAACACTGAGTGACGACGTTAATAATAAAGAAATTAAATAAACTATAAAGTAAATATACTAAGATAAAGTTACTAAAATTAGTAAACAGAAAGAAAAATGAATTGGCGCGATCGTTGAATTCGGCAATTCATAATTGACATTGACAACATACTATTACTGTCAATTTTGATATTACATAGCGACTGTTGTTACTGTATTGTAAAAATTTTAAATTAATTCTCTATAATAATCGCCGTCTCAAATTTCTGACAAATGAAAACTAATTTTAAGAGACTAATTAATACGGAATTAAGTATGTTGTATAATTGTCAAAACATAACAAAGTAAATTTTTAAACAGGAAATTTAATTTAATTTGCTTATCTGTGGTTGACTCTTTAATCAATGCAACCAAATTGATGTTATGGAGAGCAGACTAACCATGGTAACAGATATGACAGATTACAGAGAACGCGAACTAAACAAAAAAAATGGCTAACCGTACCGTAAAAGACGCCAAATCGATTCGAGGCACGAATCCTCAATATTTAATTGAAAAAATCATTAGATCTCGTATTTACGATTCGAAATACTGGAAAGAAGAATGTTTTGCTTTAACAGCGGAATTACTTGTCGACAAAGCCATGGAATTGCGATATGTAGGAGGCGTGCATGGGGGTTTTATTTATCCAACACCTTTTCTGTGTCTTGTATTAAAAATGCTGCAAATACAACCTGAAAAAGATATTGTAGTGGAATTTATAAAGAACGAAGAGTTCAAGTATGTTCGTGCACTTGGAGCTTTTTATATGAGACTTACAGGATCTTCCGTTGATTGTTATAAATACCTCGAACCTTTATACAATGATAATAGAAAATTAAGGCGGCAGAACCGAGAAGGACAATATGCTATTGTACATATGGACGAGTTTATCGACGAATTACTCCGAGAAGAGAGATTGTGCGACGTAATATTACCACGAATTCAGAAACGTCATGTGCTCGAGGAAAACAATGAATTGGATCAGAAAGTGTCTGCTTTGGACGATGATTTAGATGACGATATGCCTTCTGATGAAGATAATCCTGAACTAGATGCCAAAGAAAACAAAAGAGATAAAGATCGAAGAGATAGAGACAGGAGAAGAGAGAGGTTTGTTGATATTACTACTATTAAATTAGCTACAAAAGCTCATGATCCTATTATATAGTCTTGTCTTATTATCATACTGTATAATTTAAACATAACTTATCATACAATTTATTTCACAGAGTTTTTGCAAACTAGTAGTAGTAGTTAGTAGTTTGCTTGGATATCAAAAAGGCAGTAGTAGGCTGGCAAATTTTTAGTTTATTAACATGTTAATCGCCATGTCAGTCATATGTGTCTGATGCTAAGTTCTACATGAGCCATGTCAGACATATATGTCTGATGTACGCAATTTGGTAGAAGATGCTGTGTTCAAAACAACAGGTTAATATTTGTTGTATCTTGTTTGGATGCGTTAGACATATAAGACTGACACAGCTTGTTGAGAAAAAGTGATAATATAGGGCCATTTCAGAAATATGTGCGACATAAAAAAAATGCATTTCTGGGAATATTGGCAAAAAAATTGTTAACTAAATGAACTAATAAAGTTATCTCTACTCTTAAATCTAAGAATGCAGAGAGCTGTCCAAGATTTCGTATTTTTTTTACTAGGTGTTGATGAAGTCTCGGACTTACTATCCTAAATACTTGTAATATTTTTCTTTGACTGGAGTTAGGTTGTATAATAAATTTGAAATTTATTTAATTATCATGCAGCAGATAAATTTATAATTATTCTAACAAATTTCAATTTCAGATCTAGAGATCGCGATAGAAGAGAAAAGGATAGGAAACGAGAACGCTCAAGAAGCAGAGACCGCGAACGAAGAAGAGAAAGGGAAAGAGAACGTGATAAAGAGCGAGAGCGTGAAAAAGAGAGGGAGAGAGAAAGAAGAGAGATGCGTGATAGAGATAGAGAAAAAGAGAGAAGAGATCGGGATAGGCATGAACCTGACAGAAGGAGAGAAAGGGGTGGTAGATATTAGATTAGTATAGGACATGAATAAACATTTTAAATTTATATATGTTTTAGTTTTATAAAATCAGTTGATATATATCCATTTATATCCTTCCATCAACAAATTCAAAATATCTCTTGCTAAAATACTTAGAAAATTCATAATTTTTTTACGAATTCAGGATAAGGCTTCTTTGTTCAATGTTTCTACTTTTCCTTACTAAATAAGAAATTATTATTAAGGAAATTATTAAGGTGTAATTTAAATATTTATTTAAAAACTTGGAAAAGTAAATTAAACATATACATCTATTGGGACCAACAATTTAATAAACATGTGATCTATTTACATAGAACAATCAATTTGTATTAGTTTCAATAACAATTTACAGCAATACTGAACAGATTGTGAGCAGATTTATCTTATAAATATTATATCCTAAGTTTTAAGCATAAATTACATTTATATTAATGGAAGTATGTAATGACTTTAAAATAATTTGAATGTTTTATGGTTAATAGATTGTTCATAAGTATCAATATAATTATTAATAGTGTGATACAAAACATAAGCATGGAATGAGATCTTTACGTAAATAATTATTACATTTAATTCCTATTTTTTATTTGTAGAACACATTACTACTCCACATACAAGCAGTTTTGTTCTCTTGTTGAGAGACTTAATTGGCTTAATAAAAAAAAAATCTCTGATTACAAGTTGTATAAACTATGTATTCTATATATACCTGGGTTACAAACAAGATTCACTCTCCACATGATACTTTAAATAAAATTAACTCTCATACAATAACAATATAGCTGGCATGACATCTAGCAGCATCAGAAATTTATGTGAATATGTTATCTCAGTAGCGTGGTTATTTTTACTATGTTTTGGGACCTCCAGGCCCCATAACCTAAACCTGCGCAATTGCGATCAATACAGGGTAACAGAAGACTACAACTAATAATATAAGATTAAATGATTCGACTATTATCTGTATTGATGACGCATGAAGATCCCATACATAATTACAGCAACTATTTTATATTGATGAAAAACAGTAGGTATTGCTATTTTACCCTATAACCAGATGGATTCCATACTAATCTCGTCAAACATAATAATCATAAGTATAAATGAATCACTATATGGATTCGCGGCATAAGATTTAACAATGTACCGACGCATGAGTGTGCTTAGCTTCTTGTTCAGGTGCGAGCGAGTCTACTTCTAGCCCAGTAGAGGTGGGGAAAGGAGAGCAAGTTACTTATTAGCATGGAGCACTGTTTTTTTTCATCATTCAACTTCTTAGTTATATGTGTAGCTAGTCTCCACGCTTATATATAGATATAATTTCCTATGAATTCATAATTTTAGAAATTTATGATCGATAACATAAATAATGAATGATACAATGCACTTATATGTTGAAATGTAATATATTCTCTTTAAGTATTATAATCTTTACCCATCACTACGATATTAACTACAAAGTTCAATATCAGGTACAGAGTAATTACGCTAGATGGTTACCAAATTTCATATTTAATTTATATACTATATTAACGGAGAGACACTAATATAGCGCTTTCTGTGTCGTATAATCGCCTGCCCACGCAGATAACTTCGTATAACGTCTCCCTTAGTAACAAAATTAGGTATATATCATATATACGTATAATTAGCCATAAGTCTCAGATGGTATAGTTACGTCACCGTTGGCAATAAAAAAATTCCTCATATTTTCTCACCTCTTAATCCTCTGTTTGTTCTCGAGTTTTATCGAGACTAATAAAAGTCATTTTGACAGGTATGATAAAATAAACAAAATTTGATATACTTTAAAAACAAGTATATCAAATTTTATCTGTCTAAGAACAGACTAATATGTACTCATACTGTGTACACAGCCTGTGTTTATAGCGACCAATCTATACCAATATTAAAGTAGTTTGTTTAGTTGAAGGCGCTAATCTGAGGAACTACTAGTTCGAATTTGAAAAATTCTTTAGTGACGGTTATGCAAGCCTATTTATCGAAGGCGATGTAAAATCACGTTATGACCAATAGGTGACGAGGACAAAGTTGCGTGGGCAGTTCATCATATAATGCTAATTTATATTTGCCTATTAGGTCTTGTTCCGTGAAAATAGTATAAGATAAAAGCACGTAAGAAATATACGAGTACAAACCCTGATTGACTAACGACGACATGTAGCATACTTATAAACAGAAGAAATTAGTAACGATAATTTGCAAAATGGTGAGTTTTTATCTTCCAGTATGGGCAACAAATATTAAACCTTTTAGCAGATTGTAAGCTATTTCATATTCTTATATATAAAAATCTACATTCGTTTTTATGTGCTTCCAAATCGTTCATCCCATTGCGATAATAATTTGTCAACGTAAGGCTCGCATTTTGAGAAGTTTGCTAATTAACTTACTGTAGATGGCGCTTGTGTCGTACAAGAAAAAGTATTTGGAAGAACATTTCTGTTATCTATATGTTAACATATAAAGCTGCAGAATTTGGTTGACCGATCTCAATCTCAAGAACTTTATTGAGGAAGTTTACATATCATCATCCCAATGAACAATTGCAGTAGAGATTATCTGTGATGATATCTATGATTATGTATTTAACATTACATATTGGCATCCCATAAGTTCTTATCAGCTTCTAATAACACTATATAGTAGATGAGTGAATCACAGATCTTAAGATAAATAAATTAATGATTATGATGTAATTGTACTAACTTCAGTCAGTGTAAGGAGAAAATTAGTAAATGACTTGTCAAAAAGACAATAGGAACTTCAATATATTAGAATTTTTATTCCATCCTTCAAATAAAGTCAAAATATAGGCTATGGAAGATTTAAATTATATAATTAGGTACAATCTTTCATATTGCTACGTTCCTGACTGAAGTAAACAAATATTGTTTATAAATTATTTTATACAATTAATTAATCATAGTATTTACACTATAAGCCACTCATCATCTAACACTATAGAGAAACATTGGCAAATATTTTAATTTACAAAAACGTTTATTTAAAACATCTTACACTATACAGCTTTAAATATATTCCTATGCAATTTCATAAGGAACAAGACAGACGATCACCATTATCTTAGGGAATGGTCACATGATACATTTATTTGTGTCATTAGACAGTGTCTACAGTATAACTATCGTAAATGTGTCAGTATATAATCCTGTTACTTAATGGTCTTTGACACGGTTGCCTTTCATGTGAACATACCTTATTAAGAATAGTAAAGTCTCTCCCATACGTTTAAAAACATTTGCACACTAGATAAAATTTTGCTAAACACTGCAATTTCAATGTATTTACATTGAAATTTTGGATGTTTGTGGGGTACTATTTATGCTATTCTCACAAAGTTCAATTATAAAAATATGTGATTTATATATAAAGTTTATATTGCTTACTCCTCATTAGAGCTATAACTTCATAATGCCAGTTAATGAAGGCACCAAAGATTTTAGCTAGAAAGTGGGCGCGTTCATAATGAAGATCCGATGTTCTTCTTTCTTTATCCATTGTATTAGTCGGTCTACAGCCCTGATGGCGTGGTCTTTCTCCATTAACGGGTCAAACGTTACATATAGTTCGAAACCGTTTGTCACCTGTAATTTAAGTATGTATTAATATTTATTCTATATAATATTCTATTAAATACAAAGACCTATACACAGGTTACAAGTCCTAGAGACTGCTTCGAGTTTAATTCCCTGGCCTACAATGGATCCGGCTCCCGTACTGTGAATCCATGGTATCACAAGCAGTTCGCCTCATGACTTTCTTTTCATTTCTTTATATTTACATACAGTTATATAAGCTTAGGCCTTTAAGCATGATAATTTATCAGATACTACACAACAAAATTCAACATAACTCAAACAGCGCCAATTCAACTCAGAAAAAGATAACTGAACAAATGACTGAAATGTTTAAGTATACTTTTTTTTAATACACCCATTTTTATAATGCATACCATTTATAAGTATGATTTCTATATCCATTATGGGATTTCTATATCCATTATGGGTATTTCTATACCCATAATGGATATATAACACTTATAAATACAAATATCTGAAAATTGCGAGAATTGAACTTGTGACGACCTTTACAAGTGAATGAAGATATAACATATAACCATTAGAAACACTAATTTATACTTACCCAAGCTAACACAGTATCATGTGAATTGGATCTAAATATTAATTTAGCCGGTATTGATGTACAATGTATTTGACTGCAGAATTTCCTGTAATTCCTTACATAATCTATGTCTGACAACTTTTCAATTTTCTTCACTGTGACGTCACCACTTTCTTTATGCCTTATCCTGTAATCTTGCAATCTATCTAGACTTATGGGGTCCGAGGTGAACAGTTGCGCGGTTGACTTAGATTTGTACATAAAATGTCTTATTTCGGCTATACCAATATGTTTCAGTGGATTTGTGGTTGGTAATTCCTCGTTTCTATTCAGAGCATCGTTTATAGCGACTAAGCAGTTTGCCCGTCTTAATTTCTCGGCTATTGTGTGTTTGGCTTGAGATAGAGTGAAGAAAGCATCGTGCCGTACGGTTAGAAGCAGTAGACACGCCTGGCAGTCATCTGATATATACGACACGTGACCGTGTAGGAAGCCTCTGCAATTACAGCATACAGTTGTTTTTATAACATGTGCAGAACAATATTTTTGTACTGGACAAACTTTTCTTTATAAAATTCTAAATTTGTATTTATTGCTGTATTATAAAAATATAAAGTGTGATAAAGTTGTTACAATTAATTTGTGGCATCTTGAAAGAGCATGGCACAGGGTCTCACAATATTTCAATTTGATATGTTAATAACTTTAAATTATTATACTAATAATTATTTATATATAATCAAAATGCTATAAAGATACATATAATAATATACATGTATATTATTATATATATTTATAAATGTATATTATAATAACTGATCTGGCAAACATTGTTTTGCTATATAAATTAACATCGCTATTAAAAAATAGGGGTTGGTGATAGAAGGGTGAAAACTTAGGTTTGTGTGTATTTTTTAATGCCACATAATAAAAACATAAAAATTAAATTACACTTACAATTAGAGGTAAAAAAATTAGTTATAAATCTATTCTCAATATACATATAAAATTTCATGAAAAACGGTCAAGGCGTTTTGGAAAAGTATAAACACGAAACCTGTGACACGAGAATTTTATATATTAGATTAGTCATAATACGAAAGTACATGCAATCTTTAAGATAAGACAAGAAACCTGTAGTTTACCTATATAAATATAATTCTTCAATGACATTATGATAATTGTACTAAGGAAAAATTGTTTTTGCTATTTTCTTTTTTTTTACTGGTCTACCACGACCGTATACCGTTAGCGCACCATACCACTATCATACATTAAAAAAATAGTAGTATATCATATAACTTACGTAGCATCAAATTTGGGCAAGCATATCGGCGTCCAACTCTCAGCCGTTTTGAATGACTCCGAGCTCCGCACCAAGTTGAATAGCAGATGTATGTCTGATGGATGTAGTGTGTATTTTTTCATCCTGACTAGAGTTATTAATTGATTGCCAGCAATCATTATAGCGAAAACAAGATCCCGTATCTTATTACATGTTGATATTATTGCATTTGTTATGTTCTCTCTTGCTTTTTCTGGTAATGGTAAACATCTTACAGCACCTGGAATACAGAAGTCGCTATAAGTAATCATTCCATTAGAAAATAGATTACTCTGAAGAAAGCAAACATAACAAACACAGTCCCCTGTGTTATAAAAAAAATACTATAAAGTTCCAAATTATATTCCATTACCCAGGACAATTCACAGTGTCATCTAGACCCATGTTAAGCAGGGCTTGTGTTATAGATACTAGGCCACTGATATAAATATGTCCGTTACAATTTTTTGTAAATGCATACATATTATACATAGAAAACATCCAGACCAATACATACAATACATACTCATCATTATAAATGTTTGCATTGTGTGAGAAATAGAACCTGTGACCATTTAAATAAGTGGTGTGCTAAACCGCTATACCACCGAGTTTGTCAAAGTAAATAGAGTTTTTACAATAGATAGATCTAATTATATCAGTTTTATTTTCTATAATTACAGATTGTGTAAAACCACCAACATGTTCTACATAGTCTTATGCAGAACATAACATTCAGAGTTACCATCATGTAGGCCAATGGGTTGTATGCCATTTCAGTTTAAAATAAATAGCGTCACCTAATAAAAATGCAGGATCTTTCTCCATAAATATTAATAAGTTGTCAATCAATCTCTCTGCACCAGCCAGTAATCTCCGCAGGTCATAGTTCCTTCTTTGTTCAAATATCCTATTTAACTGGGTCAATGTTAATACTGACACTATTTGGTTGAATGCATATCTGTAACATAGTTATCAATAATTACTAATATTTATATATGCCTATGTTTATGTTCTTCATTAAATATCATTATATTAATGCATGAAGTAAATACTTTGTATCCTTTTGTAAAAAAAATTGCGCAGATGGAGAAGTATATAATTTTGCACACTTATAGTTTATACAGAGGAGTGCAGCATGCTAATATTTTTTTAATTATGGATAAAAATACATAAATTCAATTAAAAAATATTACACATACTATCATGTATTTGAATCACACATAGAAGTATATAGCCTTTGATAATAGAACCTTAATAATCTTCAAACTTATAATTTAAATTAATTATGGTCGAAGGTGGACCATTAGGCGACCACTAGTTATTATGAAAATACTACATATAATTATTATATATATATGCTGTACATATAATCATACATATATGTATAGTGTTAAACTCTATGTATATGTATATATCAAAATCCATGTTTGATTAAGGCAAAAATTAATTGAATCATACTCATTTTTGCTATTATCATATTAGTAGATTTTTTTATGCACAGGTTCTTTACGATTTTAGTTACAAAATAGTTTCCACTGCTTTATAAGAATTTTGTATTTCTATTTAGGTTTTAACCTAAGCTGACCTAAAGACCTTGATTGTTCTATAAAATAATTAATTTAGATTCTGATTCTCTATTTAATAAGATTACTTGAAATGGGACAATATATGAGTGTTAATAAAGTTTAAAATATCTTTTTATTTGACTGGCATGCCAAACTATCATACTATCACACTATCACTTATAAGATGAACAGCCATGTATGCCATACCTGAAGTCTATAGACATGCAACTTTGTGTGTTTTTATTCATAATACACACCTATGGGTCATAGCATAATGTTATATAGCTTCTAGTCTTCCTCAATAAATGGACTGTCTAACATTAAGAGTATTTTTTAATTTAAACCAGTAGTTCCTGATATTAGTGCATTAATCCATACTAACAAACACTTCAATGATTGGACTCTGTGCCTATTGTAAAAAAAATGTATAAGCAGTACTTACGTTAATTGTAAAACCAACTGTGTCTCACTCTCGTTAGACTTTGACATCGCAACCAGTATTAAAGGACCCTTGACCAAGAACACTGCCTTACAGTCTTTAGTGTTGATAGATCTTAAAATATCTTGATTCTGTTCTTCTACAACACTGACCAGAGCTTGTATAAGCCCACACAAACCAGCTAATTTGTCTTCATTTCCATATCTGGAAGTTTTAAGCTTTAGTCATAAAAAATAAAAATATACTGTGCTTCCCCCTCATCCTAATTACCATTTCATTCAAATTGAAAGATCCTTTATTAATGTAATACATTTTAGCCCCTTATGACATCCAAGTTTTTTGTAATTAATATTTTTTTATGTTTGTTTGTTAATATTTATGCTTATATAGGTATCCATGTCTAATATTAAATGAAAATAATGCATTTTTGTAATCATTTAGTGAGTAATAAATAGGCATTGTTTAATAAATATGATTTTATTATTAAAACTATGTAATATATATTATGTATATAATAAACAGCTGTTGCCATTGGTGTAATAAATAAAATAAACTCTGTGTGTTAACATAGAAATAAAAGTTCATTGGTAAAAAATCTCTCCGAACTACTCATTCATATTTTTAACAATAACTGATTTATTGTATGCTTATGAAGTAACATGGTAAGGATACTTTGCAACATATTTTTTATAGCAACTTTATTTGAGCTATGATTATAATCCATAGTAAAGATATTTGTATATGCAATACCCCATTGTTGTCTATAAAAAAAAACCTGAAGAATACTATACCTTGAATAAATAGGTTTTCCAGCAGAACTGAGTATGAATACATGCTTCTCCTTATTTACCAACTCTGGTGATTGTAAATAATCATCTTTATCATTATCACCATCTTCATCAACACCATTCTGTTCTGTTAAATTAGAACTGCTAGCTGATGCTGACACTGTCTGAAATTAAAAAAAAAGAATAATAACCCTGGACTATTCAGATGTCGCCATGTAATCTCAAGCTAGCATAGCATGTCTTGTAGGTAGAAAACTGTAATATATACTTCTTTTTTTGTTCCTTGTATATCCGCAATCAGTAAGTGTGCTATAAGCGGATTGGTTGGTAAATGACTGAGGTACTTATATAGTTAATATTATTAAATACTTTTAATAATAAATAAAATGTAAACACTTGTCTATACAGAAGGCAATGTTAGACTGTATGTTACTGTATTATTTCATATAGGCTTATAGGTAAGTAAAATTGAAAGATAGTATCACTTATAGATCTAATTATGAATCCAAAAGTATTGCTAATAATATGGTGCTAAAGTCTTGGATTTGTAGTAGCTTCTAAGAAAAAAATATATATGGTGTATTATCTTAACAATAGATTTGAATAGTGTCAATTTTAGAGGGAGATTAAATACTCAAGTCAAACTTACAGCTTTATTTTGTAAATCATCACTTGATTTTGTATTTTTCATTTGTACATTCTCTTTAGAACTTTCACCAATTTCACTTTGAATTTCACTTATAGTGCTACATTTTGCTGTTAAAGAATTGTCTCTATCCTGAAGGCTCGAACTCATCTCCGACGCAAATTCCTCAAAAGAGTCCGTGGGATTCAGAATGCTTTCAGGACACGCTCCAGGCTCCAAGTTATCAGTTGAATTATTATGCGCTATAGTACAATTAGTACTATCTTTGGATGTAGATGCCATTTTGATGGGTTCTACACAAATAAATAAACAGTGTACAAAAATAAATAATTATATGAACTAACATAGGTATAAAGAGGAAAAGTATATAAAATTATGAATCGGCCGAATGTCACTACACAATTGTCAATCAGAAATCTGTCACTCAGAGATGTTTCTTTGACAGCATGGCTTTATGGGTGTGATTCCCTTTGCCTTTCCTGTAAAGAAAAAACAGAACAAAAAAAAACATTGACAGTATGTAGACTTTTTATTAATTATGTTATATGGCTTTGGATATAGATCCATATGGCCATATTATAATAGAAAATATAGCCAGTTTTTATAATTTTTATATAATGAAAACCACCGCCGCGTCTAAACGTTTTAGGAGATATCATTTGCAAGACTTGTGTCAAGTGGCATTGTATCACATGTGATTTACAGATTGTTGCATATACACTTTTTGTATATCCTGTTAGATACTCTTTGTGCCTAACCAACCGCATAGTGTGATGCACAGATAAAATTTATATTCAGCATTCGAGTTTTCGTCGACATTTTTAAGACGAGTAACTTTCCCAATTATTGTATTTGATAGTTTTGATTAGTGAGAGCGTTGTGGTCTAGTGGTTTACATATTATATCGACTTGTTCAAATGTGGCTGCATTCAATTTTCTGGCTAATTTTCCGGTAATGGTAACACCGATAACAAGTCAAACGAATCAGAAGTTACATTCAAATGTAAAAAGCTAAATGTTCAGATATCGGCAAATGACAATTGCTTTGACTATCTATTATGGGGATCGATGGCAATATTTTTATATAGCTCTATGATTTGAAAGACACTTTCGTTGGTTGTAACTGATTAGCGAATCTACCTCTAATAATTCTAAATCTGTTATTGACATGGGAACAAATCGTACTGCCTTTGGCCGCTAGAATAAAAGTAATTCGGTAAATTGCGGTCATTTAATACAGCTCATAAGGTATGGACAAGTGCGAAGTGCAAAGTTATCGGCGTATTCCGCTCGACTGCTCGCGAGACGCATGGCTGTGTCGACTTGAGCGCACTCTACAATCGAATATTATAACTCGAATTTGGCTGCATGTTGGACATTGATTTGATCTATATCGTAATATTATGGGCGCCAGATATGGGCGTGAGGGTCACAGGGTTTTTAAAGTTAAAGGCCCTTATGGAAACCTATTTTATTTTGTAAAATACACAAAACTTTATGCCGAGCAAACTGCGTGTGTCTTAACTAACTGCAAGGAATATACTACTTATCCTTTTGGTATAGTCCACATATTTATAAAATAGCGAGCTGGCCGCTGGCCGCGTGTGCCCCGGGTTGGTCAGCCTGTTCCTACAATGGTGACAATATTTGTAGTGATTGCCACAATATCTGTTTTGCAGAGTAATAAATACAAACATTATTTATTTTGTATCTATTTATCTCTAAGCTAAAATAAATATATTGCTAAATAGGAAGTACACCAAATAAAATTAGGATGCAATCTTTGCGTTGGACTCGAATTATTTTATGCTGTTGGATGTAGCATCTGTTAAAAATCTATTATTTAATTATACATACACATATATTTTTATATATTGACGACGGCGAGATATAATAATAATGCGGCACTCACTAATTTAAAGATTATTTTTATTATCATATTTTTTGACACATCTTATTTATTTTTCTATAATTTTAGTGTAGGCTGCCAGTAACTACTAACTTGCAACATCATCTTTACATGAAGAAAATGAGAATAGGGAGTGTAGGATGCATTTTAAGATATTAGGAGCGACTGAAAGCAACAAAGGAGACGGATTAAACTTGTCCTTATCAGTTTAATTCTTTGCCAGCCTTACTCAGAAGTCGGAATTAAAAAAAACATATATTAGCATGTATTACTCGTATACATATAGGTGTAGATCATAATTCCAATTTCAAATTATTTTCTTAGGTTGTTTATTTTTGGCTGTATAACAAAGTTTTTTAATAACACGCTTTTATATTTCACACGCGAAAAAGCTCACAAAGAGATCGTAAATTGCTATACAAAATACGGTTTAGTAAAAGCAATAGAAGTCCAGCTTCTATGTATACCCATACAAATAGAAATCAATCATCATGGTTTCCTATTACCTGTTAGTGGAGACTGTAAAGTGTTGGATAAATAACTATTTATATAATATTAGTAGTATTGAAGTTAAACGTTATTGCTCGATGTGAAGATACATTTTTACCAAAATAGACTATGTACTTCTGTCTAATTTATATCAATTGCCACGCAGTTTGCTTTTAATCTGGGTTTCGGTTTTATGATGAGATATGACAGTGAAATTTTATTAAATGATTTTTCTTACTTTTTAAATAAGAGTTGAATTATTCGCACTAACTGTGCAGTCACTCGATAGAGGTTTGTCATTAGTGGAGCCTAAACGTCCAATGTACAAGTCAGATCGACCTTCAGCGGTCTTATTGGAAATCATTATGGTTAATTTCTGCTGAATTCTTCATGATCATCTAAATAATATCAATTTTTAATTTATACCTTTCGATCTATCGTGTTTACGACATATTTTTTATCACTATCCCTACTATCCGGCTAGCTACTACAGTTGGCAGCACGAACTGGCAATAAACTCGACTAATACATTTTTTCATATCTTTCTACTGGACTGGTACTGGAATGAAAGGGATTGTTAGTTATATGGACTGCTCACCACATTGCTAACAATGTACCATGTCAGGTAGATTTCCACGCAATTCCCCCTGGAAACTATCGTGATAAATTCCTGGTGATTTTGTCGTGATGGGCTAACTGACCTGACCAAATCTTCATCTTATCGTCCTCCACTGGTGCCTTATCAGCGTAAAACGTTAGCGCATGCGAGGGTACTATTATTATTCATATCTGTTAAAAAACCAGACTGGTACGCACGCGTGCTCTTATAAGGGTATACTCACAGTATTAAATATTTACAATTATGTTTTTTCATTAATTGGTGGCTTGTCGACGTCATTTATTTTTTCTTTATCCCATTCATTTGGGGTCGACGTAATATGTTTTAAATACCTATTTGTTGACGTGGAGTAGGTAATTAAAATTAAAAAATCTTACCCTACTGAAGAATCCATGAAAATTTCCGAGTAAAAAACTACGTACCTACCTTTCATTTAATGACTGTGGACCCTTTTCATAAAATTGGCTTTTATGTTTAGTACAAAACCGCGAAAATTGGTTTCCGGGGCAGGCCTCGTATAACAAGGACCTATTGCCGAGTGGTGCCGCCTATTTTGTTCGCAATATAAATACATAGGTGTGATTTATTGATCATATCAATCATTTCACCAGCTACGATCACGGAAAATGAACAGAAAATTTATTTTTTATTGCGCTTTATTTAAGAACATTACATTTAGGACAAAGCACAGAACAAACGACACTATGTTTTTAAGAGTTGGTACTATGTGACAATTGAAACACAATCGAATCTATGTGTCTTGAATGGTTTTAAAAAATAAGAGCTTGTGATGAGATAAAAAACCAAATATGAAAAAAGAGCTAATAGTCATAAAGTACTGAAGATAGACTACATTTTAATATCAAACCACAAGCGATAATCACAAGAGCTTTAGAATACTCTCATAAAATTGCTATCGGAAAATATCATTTGAAAGGTGCTTTAAAACGAATCCCTCCCAAGTGTGGGGGTTCGGTTTAATAAAAATTTAGGCTCGTTTAAACAACGCAATTCATATTCATGAATAGCAATTCTTCACTCGGAGAAAGAATAAATTACAGTCTCCGCAAGAGAGATACTTGGTGAAATTTTCGTTTGCATCTCACGTACCTACCTATTATGACGGAATTGCTGCAAATAAGACAGTTACTACACAAAAGGACTGAAAGATGTGTGTGTTTCAGTAGAGAGTTGAATATGAATATATCAAAATTATGACCTTAATAAATTTGACACAAGGTTGTATTTCCTCTGTTTGGTTATATCTGGCGAAGGTTCGGTGTTATTGGCTTTATACCTACTTTTCCAAAAACAACGTTCTGGAAGGGTGAAACTCTGACATTTATTTTTGAGGTATAAATTATATATATATATGTGTGTATTAACATTTAGGCATATAACTAGAAGTAGACTTTTTACAAAGTCGTCTGTATGAGTATCGCCATTTCATCTAATTCTGCCTACACGCCGCCTGGAAGGGATATGGCACACTGTAGATACTAAGTACATAAGTAGTATAAAAGTATTGGTTAAAACAATATTCGAACAATATACACTCAAATGTGCTTATCAATTGCTTATCGAGTACCATCCTTATATGGCGACCCTGCTGCTGTATTAATAAATGTATCTTAATTAAAAATCAATAGTACATGTACATATTCCTGCAATAAAATATAAATTAAATATTACAATGGGAAGAAGTCAATCAAAAGTGCTAAGATCATCACATTGGGTTCCTCATTATAATTTACAAAATATACAATACGTACATACGTGTCTATCATTCGGCTATAGCGTACCTACCACCCTTATAACAGTATTATGTACAGTGTCTTCAGGAATGACAACGTATGAAAAGTTCATAGGCAGTACAATAAATTTCATGTCAATCCAATGAAAATAAAGGAATTACATCGTATTTTTCATACGTATATTATACAATTCGCTAATTGATGTATCCGTTCATTTTGGAACCAAGAGTTTATTCCCGTGTTAGATTGGTATTGATTCTGTAACAATTGAGGCATGTTTTTTGTGTAGTAAAATATGAAATTGTTACATTCAGGCACAAAAAAAAACTATGCATCGAATTATAGCTCTACGGTGATTGAAATACTGATGACAAATTAATCAGAGACATGGCTGTAAGTTCGCTGTTACTTTTTTTTATGGATGATTATGGAATGGTGCACTCGCCTACGGCTTACGTTGGCGGGGCACCAGTGGAGGATGATAACATAAGCATGAGGTCCGGTCAGTTAGCCCATCGTGACAAATTCAACAAGAATTTATCACGATGGTTTCCAGGGGGAAACGCGAGGAGGTCAACCTGACATGATACATTGTTA